GTATTACACATAATCTAGGATGTTTTGTACAAAAAGTTATGCTCTCTCTAAGTCTAGAATATGTTCCAAATGGCCTGGATTCTACTTTTTGTCACCCTGTATATATGAGAAATACGAATATTTTCATATTTTCAATGTTTAGTTTAGTCACCAACGATTCGTGTAGCTGATTTCGATGATGCTCATTGGATTTTGTCTTCATAATTCAACGTTACAGTTGATAACAATGTGTACAACACTTACATTTACAACGCAACCATCTTGGTTAAAAACGTGCAAATTTGCTAACTCATTCCTTGTGGTCGACGGAACACATTACCGTTCTACGCAAACGACGAAGTTGCCGCTTTTTGTGGTCGTAAAAACTATGTACCTCGTTTGTTTATTGGTTAGATAAAATTGTTTGTCGTCAATTTAATTATAGAGTCGATTTAATAAATGTCGCTCTCGCTTTTTGAATCGCACGCAATGTTTAATTCGGTCGGCTTCGACATGAAAGTAACTGTTGAAGTTTGCTTTAGCGCTATTCACAGGATGAACCAAATAGAACTCAGGTCATTTGGAACCTATTCTAGAGAGACATTACTTTTGTGTAAAGCGTCCTAGGTTAAATTAAGGTTTTTTGAATTTCTAATAGAAGTTATTGTTTGTCATGCATGAAATCGACATTATCAACAACCCATATATGGCAAACAGTGATTCGATAATAGAAGATATCGGAACAAGGCAAATGTATAATATTCATATTAGGCCAGATAAAATCGTTAATTTTGAACTTGGGGGGGCAAATATTCAATCATAGTGTATTACAACAAATAAAGTATTACGTCATCACCTATTTTGTTTTTTTTCAGATTGTATAATTACCCATAACTAGATTATACATTTTCGGTATGCCATAGGTCAATAAAATTTTCTTTTTTTAGTCGTTACTAAAAATTAATATGCCCCACGTTGGAGCTACGAAAAATCATTGCCGGTATGTTTCTCTTTAAAGGTACGAAAAATCGTTATGCTTCACGTTAAACACACGCAATTTCTAAATTCCTGAATCTGTATCGTTTTAATGATGATAATTTTGTTTGTATAATTTCCTATTCATTTGCGTGACCCGGTGATCCACAATGCAATATTTCTTCGAAAATTAGTTGGTTTTGACTCACTTTGAGCGACTGTTAACGCCCGATAATTAAAAATAAATAGCGCTTTGCAGGCTAAGCTGATTACCGGTTGTTACAAGATGACATGTAATCTGTAATACCTGTTAGGCTGTAGTTAATTTTTTTCGAGCGTAAAATGAAGCTTTTAAGTCACTAAAATCGTTAATTGCCATTTTCCGTTAGTTTCTATACGCACTTTCTAAAAAATTAGTCAATTTAACTCTCTTTTTACACCACATTCGAGATTGCAGTGAATGCGTTACAAAAAAAATTCAGTAGAGTATTATGTTACCATTACATTGTGTTTATTTTACTGGGATAGTTCAACAGCATTTTGACCTTTAGAAGTATACAAAAATCGCCATTTTTTCTTTTTTGAACTACAATTTAATCCCGTCGAAATAGTCGAGCCAGTGTTTTTGATAGCGATAACAAGGAAGGCAGGTCATTTGTATATGAAAGACGGAAATCCGGTTTCTAGTATTATATCGTTTTACATATTCATAATTTACGAGAGTAATTATGGTAAGATAAATCAAATTAATCCTCTTCCTAGATTAGAATAATGACGCGGTTCCAACGGACAATACCCATATCCGGAAAGGCTGTTAGTTTGAAGATATTCGATCTTTTTTGTTGTAGTGAATCGTAAACTGACCTAATAAATATTCTACTATGTAACAAAAGGTTTCCAGTGTATTAAGAGTTTTGATTGGAAGAACATTTAAACAACTCATTTGAAATTATTATTATTATTTGCCTTCTGTGCAGTGAGTTCTCCTAAGTTCTTATGAAGAATCTCGGTGTTCCAAGTATATATAATATATATCTTAATAAATATGTGACAAATATACATGAAAGCCTGTAACGATTTTAATTCTGCGACTTTAGTAAGTTTGTAGGATAGTCATCGACTTGAAATAATCCCACATTAAGTCTAACGATGGCCCATGTATATCCGACTTCGTTTTGAATCAGTTTTGGCAGTTATGGGTTATCTTATCAATGTTCGTTAGTACGGAGATTAAAGATTATATTTTTGTGTATGACGCATCACTCTTTGTTGATACCCACTCTATTATGTGTCACCGTCTTTTATTTGCGTTTTACATGATTGGTACTAGTTTGCGCTGGTAATTAATCAAGCTTTGTTATTATGTGTGGGTTATACATGTACCATTTTTGGCCAAGGCGGTAGCGTATGAATTTACATGAAATGTGCGTAACTTGTGGAATCAGTTTGATATTAATTTGGCTACAAATAGATGCTTCAATTGGGTTAAGACAAAATAAGAAAAAGTCAGAAAAAAGTATGTACTCAAAAATCGAAGCGCGTCGAACTGGTTTTACGGACACTCACTACCAAAGTGACATTGATGATTATAACTATTATGGATACTTTTGATTGCACCTTGTCGAATCGTTATTACTTCGAAAATATTACTACTGCACTGTGTATTATATGGCGACACCAAGTGGTAGACGCGACAGGCGTCAGTAAATAACGCTCGGGTGAACACGACGCTTCACTCCGACAGCCTTTCGACAAGCTAACAGAAGAAATTCTATTGTATGTACGGAAAATTTATATAAATAAAGAAAAGTATCGGTTATGGAGACTTAACTCGACGCACAGCGGCGTGAAATTGCTATCTAGGTTATTACGAGGACAGAAGCGATTCGCTCGTGGCCCGCGGCGCATCGTACTGAACTCGATGTGTTTCCCTCATTACTACATGATCGTCAAAATATTACTTTTTAATACTGACAGAAGTATAGCTTTGATCGTTCTCAAAATAAACATTTTCGAATTTAAATTGATCCATTGACATTGGAAGAATGTAAAAAATTAATTGTATAAAAATAAAGAATTGGAATTTCGTTTTATCATTAAATAACAATGTATGTATAGTTTTTTTTTACTTTTGAGTAAAAATCGAGCGATGAATAAAATTTGTGAACATGTTGTGCCAAACACAGGCCACAGATAATATGGTAACCTAGGAATTCCGGCCATACATGGCCTGTAGTTGGCGTTTTTGAAAATCTTGTCTGAATAATCTATCAGTCGCGTGCTCTGTGGGTTAACCCGCAGTTTGAGCCGTTCACTCGCTCGTTCATTTTTCTCTCCCGTTACGTTCCGGACGATTTGCTTCATTAACCCCTTGACCATATCGAATGTATTATACCTAAACAAATACCCTAAAGCCTGTAATGGGTCAACATCATATTCCGCCGCAAGCTGCCATTGCTGTGTTTATTTTTTCTTAGCGTTTCCGTCGCTTTTCTCTCGATAGCTACATTTTGTTTTATAGAGAATCAAAAGCAGAACGACGAACCGATGGTCGCCTGTACCGTAACCTTTTATTTGATATTTTAGCTTTTGATGGTGGAATATTTTGGGCTAATAAATCAAAAAAGCGATTTCATCGGCCTAATCGCCAAGCGCACTTCTATGAGGTCGGATTTAGGGGGTATTTAAAGGGATTTTATGAGCAGTTTATTCTCTTTATTGTTATCAAAATTAGATAGAATACAGCGTTTAATTCTAGTTCGTTTTGAGTCATATGTTAGGCACCCTGGGTAGCATAGACTTTGTTAAATAGGTTTAACCTGTGGTTCACTGTCTGTGATAGTTTCTTATATACCCTGAAATGGTATTTTTTGGATCGTTTTTTATATATGAAAATCCTATTCTATTTTATTATTTAAAATCCTATAGATCAATGTTACTAGATGGTAAGTGAGGTACATAGTCTGGCATAGTGACAAAAAGAACATATAGACATATTTTTTTATTTCAAACTGTGTATTTCTATTTTCGATATTCAAATTCAATATATAAATATATTAGATAAATATAACAAAACTTGTCAATTTGACACGAATACCTTGAAATAAATACAATGAAATCAATTTGGGTTATGAAAGTAATACCGTAGTAAGACAGCTTGCTATTATTGATATGCAGTTTACAATGGAATTGAATAATAGTATAGATTTATGAACTGTGTATGAGTGAGTTTATAATCGAGTCTTAAGTCTTAGTGTCTACTTTGATGTTTGTAGTGGTTCTTCGTACTCGCAGTGTATTTATTTTTTATAACGTACAGCAATAAGCAAGTGATTTTGAAATATTTTCTTTCGATTAATTCTATAGTTTCCCTACTAATAACGCAGAAATTTTGTCAGTGCGATAACAAAGAGTAATTCAGCTTTATCGAACGTATTTTACCTATGGTATCAACTATCTCTAGGTTTCATTGTTGCGTATACTTTTTTATATATTATATTACCACCATAAATGGCTGGTTAGCCAATATTTTGTATGTTTTATTGTTATCGAATTTATGGCAAAGTACTGCGGTGAAGTCATGGTATTATGCTATACCTGAAATGTTTCTATTTGATGTACAGACTGGACTGTTCATTAAGTCTTAAAATTTTGTAAAATGCGAGGTGTATAAAATGGAGTGAGAAAAATTTAAAAAAACAAAAAACAATGATTAAAAAATAAAACAACTTTGGTTAAAATATATTGGGAACCGACTTGAAATTGAAATTGTAACAGGACTTTATGAACACCCTGTGTTTTATCAGATGTAATAAAATAAGATTGAACCTGCTTGTTGAACAAATTTGCCTGTATTACTTGATGTTTTTTCATATATCAATCCTATATTACATTTGTTTCAGCATATATTTATTATGTTATAGTTAGAGGAAAACATACTGTATATAACAACGCTCATCATTTTTCAATCTGTGGACAATTTATATTCCGGGATTTATTTTTATTAAACGGTTTCGATGCAATTATTTGAAAATTTTTCACACCAGACTATGATGATGCGACAAGACATGCAGTCAAGACCAACAAGTTTATCACCAAACAACACCAATAATAATAATAATCCATTTCCTCCACCTCCAAAACGACCACCTCAAGAACCAAATATTCCAGGTTAGTATACTTTATATTTGTTCTGAGTTGAAATTTTATACCTGCATTTCACATACTCACTTTATATTTCTCATACGCACAGGTAATATTGGTAATATATTTAAAAAAAAAATTGGATAATGGTCAATTGTTTAATATCAGTTTACTGTTTTTTTTGTATTGTTTAAAGATCTATAAAACTGGAAGGTTTTAATACAACAGGTCAAAGGTTGAAATTTCAAAATATTGCATTCTAAAATATTCAAATAAATAGGTGCTTTTTGAACTGACAATCTTATCATAGTTTGAAACAGTATTCACCAAAGTGTTTCAATAAAATGTTGCTGAAGTTTGAAGTTTGAAAAAAAAAATTTCTTCTCATTTTGTTAAAACAGTTTTTTCAAGTTTAATCCTTTTGGGTCAAGGGTTCCAAACTGTCATTCGTATGTGTAGAAAAAAAACTATCCCACCCTAATATGATTGTGTCAATTTGATTGTTATGTCCAAAATGTCGTTCATATGTGTAAAAAAATCTTTCCCTATTTCAATTGTTATGACCTTTTTACAAAAGAGACAGCTCATGAACTGAAATTGTATACATGAAGGTTTGATTCCAGCGCAGAATTTATTGCGGTTAATAAAACCTAACTCTGGGGGCACGGCAGATTATATCTTTGGTTCAAACCCCATACCCCCCCATCTCACCCAGGGTGTAATCAATTGGGTAGGTGGTGTCCAACTGGAAAGGTTTAGGTCCTTTATCTCCTTACATATCGTTAGATATTAGTGGCTTCTTGTATAAGGCCTTGTTCAGAGTAAAATGTAAATGAGCATCATGTACAAAATATATGTCAAGATGTTGTATTGCACTATCTTAGTACCCGTTTTGTTTGATGGATTGTCAAAATATGATTTTTCAAATTTTTCTTAAAGTTATAGGCCCAAAATTATTTGAGCCAAGTTTCAGACATCCACTTACAATATTGAATTTAAAATTGGGTCAATTTCAGGTTAAAGTCTTCAAGTAGTAATTTCAAAGAGAAATGTAGGTTTTGGAATTTTATCAGTAATCATTTTTATTTTTGGCAAGTAACCTATTCACCTCTATATTATATCTATAATTAATAGTTTACAGACATCAAATTTATTTTTATTTCTCGTTATTCAAGAGAATCATCCCAGGGATTAAGTCACACCTGTACTGTATTAATGATGATGTTTGTGAACACAGTGCATATTTCTTTACACTATTGGTTAAAATCAGAGAAATATGAGTAATTTACATGTAATTCAACAAACATGACCCCAGGATAATTACCAGTAGACTTCCCTTGAAATTAGTGGTTTTTTCAAATTTTTGGGTGATCCTGTTATCCTTAATGATTTGTATATATGTATTTGTGTATTTTCAAACGTAAGCCCTGTTTTTTACTCAATTAGCTCTTGTTTTTTGATTACATACAAGTTTTAAAATAATAAATATAGAATAGTTATAATTTATTCCATTTAAAAATTGATTGTTTACTGATTCAAGTCATTGATCAATATTGGTAGCAATATATTCCATTTTATTGATTCATTTTTTTACGCTTAATTTACAATTTTAGTTCTCAATATTAGCATAATTAGGTTTTAAACCACGTTTTGTTCCACACCCTTCGTCTATTTACCGGTATACTTTGAGATGAATGAATGTGCTATAATACTTTGAATATGCATGTCTGTCTTGAGATCAGAAATATATTAATTAATTAACTAATTAATTTATTTTTTAATTACAGGGGTTAAAAGGAGGAGAGCAACATACTCACCTACTGGTAGTGAAGATTTTCACCCCTATGTTGGTAAGTACAGCAATTAACCTTATTAATTCTTGGTGTGAATACATCAACAAGAAAAATTGTATTTATTGTCGTCTTATACATGGCCCTATCGATTGATGAATCTTGTCAGCCAAAATTTTTGAATGTCTAAATTATTATTTTTTTTTTCAGAACCAATGCCATATGGAAACAGCATGCATCATCCTCATCAGTATATTCATCAGCCAGAGAGATCGGTATGTTGTTTTTTTGACAGTTATACTCTGTCTTACTATTGTTGCACTGTACATTTACCATAATATTAATCCTGAACAATTATCTAGAATATCCTACTATAGAAAGTCGAAGTGAGTTATATCGATATACTACGTTTTTTCGTTATTGTTAACCATGACCCAATTTGAAATAGAAAATTTAGAATTGCGAAGGACTTCATTGATACCATATATAGTTTATTTGCCCTACAGAAGTGAAGTAAAAAACTTGAATAAACACTGATTAAAATTTAACTTGGTTAAGAGATATATTGATACAGACTTCATAACAAAATTGAATTTGGTGGCAAATAAATCGGAACTTGAAACACCTACTTTTTTAACTCATGGTGCCAACATCCACCAAACATAATTTGGACTTCCAAAAGTATTGGTGCACAACCTGAACAAAGTATGTGTACCAGGTTAGGGTTCAGTCAGGTACTTCGGGAACTCCCATAATTTACGTAATGTTAATATGTAATAACTCATACCTTTTTCATCTAGAATTTCAGTTCTTTATCTCCACAAAGTCAGCATATCTCTCCTCATAATATGTACAATGTTCAACATGGGAATCCCTCTCCACAGGTAAGACAATTGTTCGACTTTTGAGTGTTCATTTTTGTATAGTAATAGTAAAAAAATGAATAAGGTCAATTAACACGACTTTTACAGATGTATGGCCAAGATCCCAATTATGCCTCAAATCCGGCCACTCCAGCCGCCTCACCCATGCCACAGTGGCACAGACCACAACAGCATTATCAATCATCACATGACATACCTTCGGTGAGTTGTGCATGGACATTATACCTTGTTTAGAAAGTGCATGTTTTGTTCGGTATTGGGTCTTTGTGTTTTGTTTGTCATGTTGAATGTCATTTCAATGTATTCATATATCAGTATGTGATATTAGTAAATGTTGTAGCACAATATATTTTTGATGAGTCGTATTTGAATGACTTGGCTTTTTAGAATTAGAATTTTTTATCAGGAAATTTCATTGTTGTCTACTGCGGTCTGTTTCAAATCTAAAGTACAAACTCAATGATAGATGAATTCACCTGTTTCTCAGTAAAATGTCTGAGTTGTTATCGTTTTCGATAAGTTTTTTTTGTGGCCTATGATTTAAACATCTCTGTCTGTGTCTGATTTACTCCCGCATTGTCATCAGCTAGATCTAAGAGATGATGACATATTGAAAGTTTATTATTTATCAATAGCTGCACAGAATTTGCAATTAACCATGATGTGCTTTTTGAAAAAATGAAAATTGGTATGATAATGATTCCGATCCTTTTTTGTTGTATATTTTATTTTTTCCAACTTTTTTTTTTATTTCTCATTCAATTATTTGAGTTATGTTGGCAAACTGGGATAAATACAAAATATTCAATTCTCAAAATTAACATATTTTATGAATAACTCCTCAAATCTTCATTAGAAAAGGTTTATTCAGTAGCCTACCGAAGTGACTTAAATTATAAACTAATATATCAAAAATAAAATAACCATTCATCGACAGTCTCGCAAAATGCCAACGAGAAGACAACACAGCTTTCCACCTCATCATCACCATGCGTCTGTCCCCGATGGCGGGGCTCACCCACGTTCTCAACTTCATTCCTCATTTCCACCTCACCATTCTCACCACCCACCACACGGCAATACACATCAACAACAGGTAGCATGTGACACGAAGCTCACAAAGAATCTTCTAATAATACCAATAACACAAATAATTTCAATAAATTTTCGGTGCTCCCGAAGTATGTGTACCAAGATCAGGGTTCATGTTGTGTGCCATCTTGGTACACATACTTCGGGAGCTCCAAATCTTCTGCTGTAGTGTACTTATGAAAGCTTTTGATTGCTTACTATTCACAAATCTAATATACAAGCAGCTTAATTCAACATTATGTTTGAGCTTTTTCATATTTTGTCGGGCGTGGTTTGATGGTGGGTCATGCATTATTGGTAGTTAAAGTGCGTCCAGTTGTGCATAATGCACCGATTTGGTGGCTTTAGGCATTTTGGCGGACACCCTCAACCTTGCTCAGAGATGAATCTCCCTTCTGAGTAAGTGCCATGACCCTACTTTGAACTAATTATTGAAAAAAGTGAAAGATCTGTTCATGTTGCGTAGTTTGATATTTTGGATTTATTTTAATTATTCAATGAAGTATCTCAAATTGGTGCTGCTTGTGTGCATGTGACTAACAAACTATAATTTCAAATCTTTAATTTTAGAAAATTTCTGTTGGTACTGTTTTTTTTTTATATTTTGAATGCTTAAAACTCTATATCTTATATTGGGAATTTGGTGAAGATGATAATAATTAAATTGTTGTTTTTTGGAAACAAGTATCCTGTTTCATAATTCAACAATTTACTGAATTCTTAAAGTTTCATGTATCATTTTAAAGCCTGATAAACTGAACTGCCCACTGGTCTGTCTTGTCTAATTAGTTTACTAAACGTCACACATGAAGATTATTTTAATTTTGCTTCTTCTTAGCCTAATTTATTTTTATTTTTAAACCAGACTGATTTTGTAACAAGTTGTCCGAGTAAATATTGTATTCTGGATAATAAACTATATTATATCTTAATCTGTTAAGCTAGAATGAGGTAACCTGAGCCATTGCTTTATTCAACAATTTCTATGATTTTTTTGTTCAGCATATATGTGTTCTTTGCATGCATTTTAATTTGTAACAATCCATACATATGTTTTATTGAGTCAACTTAATAATTTAGTTATCTGTGTGATTAATCCCCAGTTTTGTCATCAAAAACAATTTTTTAACACAATTATGGTGTTTAATAATTAATTTCGTGTTTAATTCACTAATATAATAGTTCAACCTATGCTCTAAGAAATTCTTACTTCGTATAGAGGGTGACCCAAAAACAGAAGCCAGGTGATTTGGAACATGTTCCAGAGAGAACACTAACTTTTGTGCAAATGCCCCACATTACTGAAATTTTGAGGTACAGTTATACACAAAAAGAAGTTTAATAAAATATTTTTATAGAAGTAATTAAGAAATTGACAGGATTTGTATTTTCGGTCACCCGCATATCAAATTTTAGAATTTTTCATGTCTTGTTGAGAAACTCATCACCTATATTTCTTTTAGAACATTGCCCTTAATGATGCCATCGAGGTGGTGAGCGAACATGTGGGCATGCATTCACAGCAACAAAGGCCTCCATCAGGTTATGGACATGCCGGAATGTCAACGGGACCATTGATGGGATGGAACTCACCTGGAAATCAATTCCCGGGACAGCCTTTAGTATGATACTTTTTTTCTTTCCTTAAATTTTTTCGGTCAAGTTTATTTAAATTCAATATTAAAATTTAGAAAGCTTCTTCATGATAAGATGGACAGGATTTGCATTTAAAAACCTATCATGATGTCAAAATCATTTTTTAGTATTGTTATGTCACCTGCAAATATGGCGATATATCCATGTACCACATTTCACAAAGTTATGGCCATCCCATTACTCAAGCATCCTCTGTCGTGCATCCAACTGGAATTAATGAGTTGCCAAACCTTTTTTGACATCTGCCATATCGCACAAGTAAAGTTTGAGGCTTAGTCCACGTACTTGGATATACACAGCTTTATGATTTTCAACTTATGAGACAGGTGACAAGGAAATATGTCACTCATCAACAGAGTAATTTGTTTGATCTATGAGAAAGAAATGTTGAATGATTATAAAACCAAGTGTTTGGATTTGGGAATTATCAGTTGGATAATGGTTCGGCTAAGGATTGCAGTTTGGTTGTTTATATCAGAATAGTTGGTTATTTTATAATTTTATTTGTGATTTATTTTGATTTCGAATAAATTGAATTACAATATCTTATTTTACATAAATTGAGGATTTACACTAATTTTGAATTTTAGTGAGATAGGCTGAATGCTTTAGTGCCGATGAAAAAATTTTTGGCTTCAAGAAAAGTTCAGATAAATATACTCATCTAGTGCAAGAAGTTTGACTTTATCTCAAATGTTTTGTTTTTTCAAGTTGTGACCAGGAAAAAAAGCAGAATCCATAAATTTTTACTTATTTAATTACTCTTTGTGTATGATTGTACCCAAAAGTTCCAGTAATCTAAGACGCCTTGCAAAAAAGTTATGTTCTTTCTGGAAAATGTTCCGAATAACAATCTTTTTTTTATTTTGGGAGTCAGTAAATATAAACTGTTGAGCTTAATTAATGCAGATCTTCACAAGATCCACTTTTAACTTTGATCAACCAAAATCGTTAGTATTGTTTTTCCACAAGCTTATTTTATTTATGATACCCAAAACTGAAATTTTAGAATCAGGTAAAATTTAAAACAGGGATTTTATGTTGAGAATTCCTGGCAAATACATAAATAATAGAAAAGTTAATTTGAGGATTCTCTAAATTAAAACTGTGCTGGTGAAATTGGTCCAACTTGCAGGTTTAATTTGTGTATGTAACATAACAGCTGTACTTTGTGTTTTGTGTCTAAAGGAGATCACACTATATTTTATAACCTTGCTAGTTGCTACACAGTCATTCCATTTAGTTCATTTGACATTAATTCACTTTTATAGTCTATACCAATAGCTGTATCCATACATTATATTAGTGATGGTGTGTTACAGTAGATTGTATAGTATGGCGAAGAAAATAGGTACAAGTTTTCTTGAGTATAGACCATAGATGATCTGTTGGAAGCAACCCAGAAAGACACTTTGTTATATGATAAGCTTTGCTTGTAGATTAAATGTTGTGTGAAATTTTAGAAATAATTGGGTAATTCAGGAAGCAATATATTGGTATTGCATGAATTAATCTTCCTTAATATGTCAATATAAAGAGTCAATTTTTGCCAGTTATTTAGGAAAGGGTTGTCATGATTTTTCTTTTCATTCAACGTCTTATGCCATTCCAGTCATATTATATATTATGTTTAGTATATACTATAGTGTTATATTATACAAATTACTTATAAAATGTGGTGCAATGTATATGAACTAGCAAGATTAGGATCTATCTTGACTGCTTATCCCAATTCACCATCTATCTACTGGGTGCGTATCATAGTCTACCAATATTATCAACCACTTATGCTGGTAATATTTTGTCTCAAGGGTACTTGAGTCAGGAAACATGTATTGGAACATTTTCCCTGGTCGTCTTTCATGGTTTCATAAGTGGACAAAACTACATGGATGTAATATCTTTATGAAATATAAAACAAGACAGCAGATCCAAAATACTTCATAAACATTAAAGTTTATAGCCTCCTACAAACTACTTCCATCTTTATTGAGTGTTGAAAATTTGAAATAGTTTGGTCGTTAAATTTTGGAAAGTGATTTTTTTCACAATAAGAATAAGATAAATTGGTATTTTCAGTTTTACTTAGAATATATGATGTACTTGAAATAAAATTATTTGATAGTAAATTTTAGGGTCTCAAAACAAAATGGTGAAATGGTACCAATCTTAATTAAACTGTTATATCCTGTTTAAAATACATATTATCGAATACACTATTAATAACAACTTCCAGTCTAGAGTCTCGAAACAAAATGGTGAACATTGAAATTGTGGAAAAAAAAAATTTGAAAATATTGAAATATATTCCCTTGAAGCTGAACAGTTTAAGCCACATTATATATAACTCAAGTCGTTTTAACAATTGAATCTGGAAAAAAGGTTGAATAAACATGATTGGACACTGTATAATGATGTAAACAGGAGAATACTATAAATGCAATATAAGCCTATAAGTTTATTCGAAATGTAATATTTTAACGAAATTTGGCTTCTTTTACCGAGATGTTAATATCAATAAAACAATGCCTTTGTTCCTATTTCGAAGCAGTATTCATCAGACTATTTCAATAGAAAGTTACTAGAGTTTAAAAATCAAAAATATACGTTTTGTTCATTTTCACAAAACAGCTTTTACCGGTTTTGCCTTCAAGTCCCAGAGTTATTGTGCATTACCATCACTGATTGCTCGGTGGTATCAACCATCTTTGCATGAATCTTTTATTGTACCTATGCTTGTACATATGGTACACTGTTTTTGGCTGTTGCTATAATAACTGTATTTAGTAATTTATCAAGTTGACTGATTAGTCAAAGTGCTCAAAAATTGTTTGTTATCAAGATTCAATTAATGACAGAAATTTTAGGTATTCATTATACTAGAATAATATATTTGGTTTTTAATAACAGCGAGTTATGGAAATTCTCAATCATAAATATACTGTTTTGTTTTAGGTTACACCGCCAGATGCTTCCAGTCTAACTGGTATTTCACAGACTCAAACCACAGTCACTTCAGTCAACAATGCAGCTGGATCTTCACGACTCAACACATTTCCTTCAAGTAAGAAACAATTTTAAATGAGTTATTTCGAAAACTGTTTTGAGTAAGTTTGTTTATAAAATCTGCACTAAAACAGCAGTTTCCATTGTGTGGGATGCGGGGCTAAGTTGGGTTCGCTTGTATTTAAACGAAAACATAAAAGTTATTATTTTCATTGTAAAAACTTGGCAGTATCTATTTTACGATGCTGCAAGTAGAGCATGCTCTGTTTTAAAATCTCTCAATTTCTCAAACAAGTGCGGTTTTCTCATTAGTTCAACTTCTAAGTAATTTCTGGTCAATGTGACAATGGATGTTTGTATTAATAATTTAATTTTGCGACCATAATGGCACTTCATGCCTGTCCGCTCTGAGATCGCGCGATTTAACAAAATGTTTGCTAATTTTGCGTTGTGGTAACAAAGGACATCATTTTAAAGTATGACTCAAATCTTGTTTTAAACTTTCAAATGATGTAAATGGTGGCGATATGTTGGATAAAAACCTAATATTTCTAACGATCTGACATTATTTTTATTGGGCATCTGTTCCAACTAATGGGTTATTTGCTTTTTTTAGATTCCGCCCTTTCCATTTCTGAAGTTTCATCGTCCGAAGCTCTAGGAAGTCCTGCCGTATCGAGTACAAACAGTAATAACAACTGTGTAGTTGAACAACGTTCTTCTCGGAAAACTTCTTCGTCAAGTTCAGTAAAACAGGAAACGAAGGAAACTGCCGGAAAATCAACAAAATCAAAAGCAGATGTAAGTGTGATTGTTTCTGAGTACTGATACTCATCCATAGAGTTAATCTGTGTTCTAAATATTTTGTAAGGTGATTTTCAACAAATTTCAATTCTCTATTTGAACATGAATTTGATCTTGGTTAATTATCAATTGCACTACTGTATTGTTTGAAATTTTCCTGCGCCCTTTGGCCTTACGGCTGAAATGTTACCTTTACTAATACATCTCAGGTTCACATTTCATGCGACCACCCCCCACCCCCATGTTACCCAGGATGTAATAAATCAGGCAATGCTGAACTGTCTGCTTGTATAGGACCTTGTTTGGGGCAAAATGGGTGAATAATTGTCATATGAAAAATGCAAAATTTCTATTCAGAGTTCTTCTGGGACAAGCAGTAAAAAAGGCAAAGAAAAAGAATCAGGAAAAGTTACAAGTACGACAAGAGGAAGATTGAAGAGGTTAGAACTTTCGTTAATTGCATATTTGCATTCCATCGCAAACCAAATTTTGTCCAGAGAATTTAGTTTGAAGAAATTTGAAATGAATATGATTTAGAACCTTCGTAGGAACTTTCATAATTGAGGATTGTTTTGATTTTATAGTTTGCCAATTTTGCTCCAAGATAGGTATATTATCATCTGAAATTGAAATAATTGATATGCCAAACTGTATAATACAAAACAATTCCGGAAATAGTCCTTTCCAGTGAGGTGTTCGTTCATATTGTCCAAAACCAATGACAAGTAGTGACATAGGTTAACATAAACATAAATTTCATTTACGTGTGTATCTTTTGAAATTGCCAGCGAAAAAATAAATTCCCATTATGTTATTATCAGTACTTCTATTGACGACCCGGATGATTCGCATCTGGATGATGATTTGCCAGTAGAAGAAAGAGAAAAGAGGGAAAAGGAGAGAAGAATGGCAAACAACGCAAGAGAAAGGCTGCGAGTTCGTGACATCAACGAAGCATTCAAAGAACTTGGGAAAATGGTGCAAATTCATATGAACAATGACAAACCACAAACAAAGCTGACCATTCTACATCATGCGGTACAGGTTATACTTGGATTGGAACATGAAGTCAGAGGTATTTTGAAAACTATTTTTTGATTATGTTTTAATTGTGGCATGTATTGTATGACATCGCGAATTAACTATTTTTTTCATTTTGTCATGTACATTTTATGCTGGTGTTTTGAAAATATTTCAAAGTGTTTCGATTAAATATTATTTCAGATCGTAACCTAAATCCGAAGGCCGCTTGCATGAAAAGAAGAGAAGAAGAAAAAGTAGCTGCATCAATGCAACAACCATCACCTTCTTATTCATCTCCTGGTGCTTCTTCTATGGTCAAACGTCCAAGAAGCAATGGACACATGGGTGCATATGGTCCGGATTCATCACAACATGGTTACCATGGTCACCATCCTGGACAAATGAACATCAACGATCCAACTGTTTCATCCAATGTTCAATATCAACATATGCAGAAGCAATACTCTAACCATCCTGGTAAGATACGTTTTTTATAAAAATAAGAACCTATAAATTTTCTTAATGATTTCTCAACAAAAATGAGGAAAATTTTTTTCACACTTGGAATTCTTTTTATGTGTGGGTTACCCAAAAGTTTCAGTAATCTAAGATGCTTCATGCATGAGATATGTTTTCTTTAGAATATGTTCCAAATGAACATGGGCTGTGTTTTTTGGGGTCACTTTGCATGTGTTTTGGCTGTTCCAACTTGATTGTATATTATATACTTGTCCTTTGTAAATATTGTCATTTTGTGGACAGTTCCTTATATAATTTTTATCAGGTATTAAATACAAACTTACTCCTGGTACAGTACTCCTTACAGTGGGTAGATTTTGATTATTCAATTGAATTTGCAAGTAACCATAACTTTTTCAAACAGATCTCCATGCCATGAATTCTGGTGGACACTACCCAAACACATCAAATGAGCAGCAAGTTCGGTACATGGAGGCTGCTGGCGGAAGCACTATGGGACCCAACTCATTACCCCCAGCCCTCGTACCTACTCCAGGGATGCCGCAACAAATGGATCCAGTTTTTGGATCAGTAACTTCAACGCAAATGTAAATTTCAAATGTTGTAGAAGACTAGCAATATCAACAAAGTAAATAACAACACTGCCACAGACTCGGCTTCAAGTTGTACTATAAGAAGAGGATTGGGCACCGTATGACTAAATCCCGTCAATATTATTTAAATGATGCACGTACATATAAGGAGATAGCAAATAGAAGCAATAACTGGGAGATGTAACTTCAAGTAGTATACGCTTTCGCTTAAACTATCTTCGGCACTTTATTTATATAAAAAAATTGTACATATTCTGTGTCGATGTATTGCGAGTTCCAGGTGAACATCAACATTTTCCATCTTCAGTCGAAATTTGCGAAATTTAACCTGTTTTCTATCCATTCCTAAACAACTAGAGAGGTCCACGGAGTTCTTATTTGCCACAATAATGTAGATCGTCTGTTTTTATAAACATTAATGAAGGTAGTTGTATTCCAGTCAGTGTTGTGTGCATGGTCAAATGAGGAGATCTATTGCTGTTGTATTGATACCTTCACTTGCCCATATTCAATAAAGCACAATCTTTGACTGTGGTCCCTTTTGTGGGAAAATTATTTCAAATCGCTCATATTCTTTTGCACAGGATAAAGCTGATAAAGAAATCTTTTTCTCATAACTTTTTTAGTATTTGTCAATTGTCTGACTAGTTGTTGATGGTAATAAAATTGCTTTTCTACTCTTTTTATCTCTCATTTCTAAGTGAAAGTTTCTGTTTTCTTTTATAGGCACTACGTATCTATGTTACTGCGATTTTCGTGGCTGTCAGAAGTTGCATTTGTTTCTTTTTCTGTGTGCCGCCATGTTGAATTACTACTACTATGCCTTTTTCCCCGCTGTTTTTGTCATAAGCTGACATCGTTGTTTGTTTTTAACTTGTGCCAATCAAAAGTTTGAAAAAAGTTTTGCCAATACTTTTCCCAGAATTTTAAAAAGTTTTTCTAAACAATTTTTGCAACGTCTTTGAATATGGCCAGAAATATTTTTGCAATTTTTTTCCGAGTCTCGACTAATTATTTGAATATCCTGTGCTTCATTGCCAGTTTTTATTAAAATGTACAAATGAGAAAATGTGACAAATTTTTTTACTTGAAGCTATGTTTTAATATTTCTTGTGCTCTTTTGTGCATATTGTCAAATTTTGATATGTGCTTTGTTCAGGGTGCTAAATTATTTTTTACGAATTAAAATTTTGACAGCTATGAGGTATTTTTGAGCACCGTTTTTTGTATAGTCGTAAATTTTGTCAAAGCTGAACTTTTTCTCTTGTTAATTTCTAAATTCTTAAAATGAAATGTTTTTCATCGTACTACGGCAAAAGTATTATCAAATTGAACTAATTAATTGATTTATAAGTATAATATGGCGCTCGTTTACACTAATGTTATTCCAACTGATCTAAAGCTAACGGAATTCATGAAATTGCAAACTAGCAGATTTTTAGTCCGGCATTTAAAGGTTTTCGTATAATTTAATAGTTTGGTTAAAAGATCATTTCGAATATTCGTTAACAAAAATTTTGAAAGCCTTTTGATTTTTTTTTAAATTATGTCTATTTGAACATGAAATGGTCAGTATAAAATTTAAGAAATCTTCATAATACTATAAAAAGTTGAAATAAATTCACCAAAAAGAGTTGTACAAAAACAAAATATTTGTTACTGGCAACTGTACTATGTGATACCAAGTTTATTATTTTTATTAAACTTGACAAGTTTTTAAATTAGTATTCTCCTGGATTTGTTTTACACAAGTTCTGCTCTGCTTTTAGTTATAAATCCAGTTGTTATCCCAGGCAGTATTATATTCTAATTAATTCTGGGTATTTTAATGAAATTAGCATAGAATATGAAATTAATGACTGTCTATTGTCAAACGTTATTAAGATAGTACGTAGATGTTATTAATTACATCCCTTTTGCAGTATGGTAGCAGTCGTATCACGCAGTCAGAAATCACAACTTCTTTAGCCAACAATGGTTCTTGTTTGATAAAGATGTTGGTCTGTGATTTCTGATTAGCGTTATTAGTAATTCAAAGTATACTAGCAGACTTACAATACAATATTACATGATAAGTAGGAGCAGTTTTAACTTTATCGCATTATTGCAGTGCTCACTTTTAATTGGAGAGATGATTCTACGTTTTTCCTCCATCAATGTAGTCTTTTTTGTTGTCTATTACAAACTGCCAAACATAATGAAATTCCACTTTTCGACAACATTTATTACTTTTTAGTATTCGATGCGTAGATAAATGTTTACAATTTTTGCCAAGAATTTTGAATTTTTGTAACAAAATTCATTTTGTTTTGCCAATTTTAAGGCTTTTTTTGTTACTAATTTTGAAGTTCAAAAATTTTACATCGACCTGAATGAATCTCTGTCTATGGATTCCTAATTTAAATCTTCACATTTTGATTTATTCAAGTGAATAGTGGATTGTTAAAAACGCAATTCATTAACCTAAACGTGTATGTACTTGTTACTGAAGCAAATTTTTCCTCAACTAAAATTCCCAACATCCTGTTTGTTTTTGAACATCCAATCTATTTGATCATCCTCTTAATGACTGATACAAAAGTTTCTCTTTTTTGAAGTTCTATTTATAGCAGTAAGTGTGGAATGTCCTCACATAAACAAGATCAAAATTATCCGCTACATTGTTACATTATGAAGGTTGTATCAATAATTTTAAGAACAATGAATGCCCTATTGTAATTGAAGAATCTTTTGCTATTTTATCGTTTTAAGCTTTTTTACTTTCCGACAAAAAATTGAAACACGAACCTACCATGATGCCTTTTACAGCATTTTATTGCTTTGTTATTTTACTAAAAAGTGAACAGTACTGCGATTTCCAAACGAAGTTTCGTAGAAAAGCAAGGACTGGTTGTATTACCATTATCATGGCTATTATTACTATTATTTTTTTTAACTATTATTATTGTTAATATTATTTCTTTCTTTTTTTTTCTCTCACTTTTTGACAATATTTTCACGAAACAATGCGGTATCACACATTTTTTTTGAACCTTTAGACTTCCAGGTACTACAGTGCGCCTGCACACATTTTCGATTTCATTATTGATTTGTAAAATAACATCCGTATTATTTTTTTTCCCTTTTTAAGTTTATTATTTTTATGTGGGTTGATCTGTTGGAAATAAGAGTTGGACACTAGCTAAAGCATTAATTTGTTTGAAACAATGAAACATCTGGAATCATTTACCACTTTAACCTGACTTCGTGAAATGCTCGGTCTACTATTTTGTAGTTGCGATATTTGTTTCGATATTTATACCATTTCTCTCTCTCTATTCCGTATTAAAATCCACAGTAAGCAAATGTGTTTTGTTCTTGTGGGTAGTAATCTAGGATATATGCAAACCGACAGTGGGTTGTTACGTGATCCCTGATGTACAGAAAATAGGGTACTCCTGTAGTATGGGACCCAAGATGGCGAACACCGGAACGTAGTATGTGTACCAGGTTAAAGATAGGTCATAATTTTATTCCAATTTCCCTCATTTTATTTCTATAACGTGTTCGTGGACTAGCCAGGTGACTCACGTGGTATTTGAACCTGAAATTAGGGTCTAACCTGGTACACATACTACGTTCCGGTGTCCGCCATCTTGGTTCAGATACTTCGGGAGTACCAAAAATAGATAGGTCACGTTCAAACGAGAATCTCCCCTGGCTCAATATCTTGATTAATACTACCTTGTTTCAACCCCGAATTCGCGTTTGTGGACTATTCGTCTGTACAGGCACTTTGTCCATCATGTGCCAAGCACTTGTTACTATACAAAGACGCAACAATGTGATCAATCGAAGTCGTAAATCAGGGATGGCGAACATTTTTCAATAAATGGGTCAAGTTTGCATCAATGAGAAACTTGCAGTTATATCATTCCAACAAGTCTTATAATCCTTGGTTGAGCTTGAATTTTTTACGCAGCACTTTAAGACTGAGGCGATTTATGGGATTCATGTATGTTATGGAGGGCTATGGACCCTATCTGCGTGTCCACACTCCCGTGTTATTGAACACACGTTAACAGGGTGTAACTCCGATCTGAACTCCTCCAGAGGTCAATAAGCACACAATGTATTGAATGCCATTTGTTATATTGTAAAGTTTTACAATCAAATTGATCCAAATAACAGATAACGAATTACACTTAAAACCTTAATAAAGTATGTGTGATGAAACCAAATTGCTAACTAACAAAGGACGATAAACACAAGCAACACTGAGCGAGAGAAAATACATCATAATGGAAATGAATTAGAGCAATGACAATGTTACAGGCAAATAACGTGCACTATTAACAGTACGTGGTGGAAATATTAAAATACACAGTAATTATCCTTATGTACTCGCTACAACGTAAACACGGGTTCGCATGCATACAGAGAAACGTTTCTAACGCTGAGGCAAATCTTTTCATGGTTTCAAAAAAGTTTGTTAGAAAATATCACCGTGGGTGAATTATATTTTTTGATTGGCTTTCAACCGTGGTGGTTGAGTCAATAAAATCTTGCTTTCCAATAGGCATTGACTGATGTATGTGAAAAAAATAAACTACAAAGTAGCATCTAATTTCTCGTATACCTCGTTTCATCGGTTCATCGCTTCGGTTCATGCACCTCCGAAAGTAAACCCTGTTAGAAGACAAGTTTCAAGAAATGACCCAATCAATTGTATTGTTATCTCATAAGCGTTGTAACAGCATTTGTGACTGTCCTCCGGTATACTATAGTACAGGGATGGCGAACCACCCGCGGGTCACAAAGTGACCCAACGCGTGTTATTCGTGACCCGCCAAGCCACGAATAAAATAAAAATGCTAACATAACAGTGATAAAAATTGATAAAACCGGCCTCAAATTAATCTAACAATAACTAAAATAATTATATATAACGTCAGTTGGGAAGTCAGAGCTGCGATCGCTCATATTCAATTTGTTTCAATTTCTGGGCCGGTATGGTAATTTTCAATACCCCTAATCTTGGACGCATGTCTGTATCGCTGTGTACCATTATCCAGCTATTGGCTCTGACATCGTTTATGACATAACGATGCAATTGATGTCCATTTCTCGCAAAGTCTTGTCTCTTTCAGAAGTGCAGGGATTTATACGAGAACTGTATGCTACTTTGCATTTTATTAGTTTCTCGTTTACAATGCTGTTGAGAAAACAAAATCTTTCAGACTTGAAATAAAAATCTATAAATCTGAAATAACAATGGGGCAGTGTAAAAGTGCCTTAATGTGGTTGAAAGCTGATCGAAAAATATAATATTATCAGAGTGGAATTTCCTCCAAACTCTTTGGAACCGTAAAATAATTTGCCGTATCATCCTAAACGTTTTTGTTAATTCATATGCGTGTTTTCGTACTCTAATTTCATAAAATCGAGTGCCATAATAAGTTCCTGACAGAAGTAATGAAGTGCTGCATAAGTAAAGACCAAAACTACACCAACAGAAGCTTAGGCCATAAGATTTGTTTCGGAAGTTATCTTATAGATATAAACATTAATTATATATATGTGACCCACTCTCTTCTGTTTCGCGATAAAAATGTAATTTTTGACCCATTCATTGAAAAAGGTTTGCCATCCCTGCTATAGTTAGAAGTTCAACTTCAATGTTAGAATAAATTGAAGTCGGTTTATTTTATTTTAAAGTTTCATCACTCGAATGGTAGTATGTTTTTGACATCATTGAGACCTGACGGGTCACTGAAAAAAACTTGGTGGGTATCGCCATCCCTGATACAGAAGATGGGTCACAGTAAACAATGCAATGTAAAGCTGAACACAGCCCGAAAAAAAAAGACGGAAGGTTTAATACAAAGCACCGAAACCAAAGTTTCAGGCAACAAATCAGTATGCAAGTTTAATATTGCAAAACTGATGGATTTTAGTTTGAGGATTTCAAACAAACCAAATAGTAGAAATAGCTGGGGTCAATACATGCATCAAACAAGCTTCTGATGTTGGTCTGAAAATATTGACGATCAGAAAGTTTATTGATGTGCTATAATTTTCATTTCATCATGTTCATTATTTCCATCTTGTGAAATAACACAAACTTGAACCTAAATTTAACAATTCCTATTGAATTTTATTCCAATGGGAATCCCATGGGATGGGATGGGGCATCTTTGCTATGGGATGGGATGGGAATGGGACAGAAAAATATGTCCCATGGTCAAGCCTGCATATTATACAAACGCAATGTTGTAAAAGAACCTTTTTTAAGTCCCATGTTCTGACAGACCCTGAAGCTGTCAATTTATTGACCTCCATAGTATAAAATGTTGTATCAAAAATACAGAGCTTCCTGAAATAATCTTTACAGAAATAACTAAGTTTTAAAATGATATTTTGGATAAACGAGTCTACGATAAAAAAAAGAAACGAAATAACAGAAAATATGATATTTCCTGGATTTCTCGTTGCTTAGATGAATTAGTAGCCTACAGCTAAATATCGATATTTTATAAACTTTTTCAAATCATAAAGGCTTGTTTCTGTAGAAACTATTCAAATTATCATATTCTAATTTTAAGGCTGAAGGAGGCTGCTAGTGGTCTTTCATCCACGAATTTAGTTCATGGAACGCCTGGAAACAGGTAGACACACAACTAGTGCCAAATTTTACAATGCAATCCTGACAGATGACTCTTTTCTTTCTAGTGAGTTATTGATGAAACATGTTTCTTATTGTGTTGTAACACTCAACAAACTGTCTGAGTGTAATCTATGTGCCTGGAGGAACCATAACAATGAAGGATTAACATACAATAGAATATTTTTGAGCTTTTGAGATTCGGTTCGAATAAAGTATTCGATTCTGAAATCATTAGGTATAAATTCGAAAATGCCCAGTCCTACCCATAAAGGAAAATAAGCACAAGTGTTTTAAACAGCTTTCTCGGCGTAAATGGAATTGTCAGCGTGTACAAACACCATGGTAGAGGGAATATATTATGGTTTATTATTGTAGGAGCTAGCACATTTTCACTTGGACATTTGGATCCACGTACTTGGGCTCCTGTGGAGAATGGCAGTTGAATATATTAACAACAGCGCACAAGCATATTCGTGTTGAATGAATTAATGCCTTTGTTAACATGTACAAATTGTTGATGAATTGTAGCAAGGTGTGACAACGTGCAATGTTTTTCTCGATCATGTAATATATATATATATATATGTCAGGCAAAACTTACCTTGACTGAAGAAGGCATTCTCGCCCACACTATTTTGTTTGTTTGTTTCAGAGACCACCTATGACTATCCAGAAAGGAACAATATTCGTGTGTGTTACAGAAAACTAATAAGGTAACAATAGCCTACACTGCCCTGCTAACAAAATGTGATAAAAGATCTGATCCCGTTTCAAAAGAAACTGATGTATATATATATATATATGTGCAATATCGGGAGATAACTGAAAATCTGTAAAATTGTGACCATGATTTAAGAAATGATGCAAAACGCACTTTTCTAATATATACCGGAGCATTAGCAATATTATATTTGCTACTAATATATATTATGTAAAGCTGAAAAAAAGTAACAAAACTTCATGGAGTATGATTTATTGATGATGTAAATAATAGACAATTATCACATCAACAGCTTTGATTCTCATAATGAAGCGGCTATTGTCGTTTTCAATCGAAGTCGAAAAGTTCTGTAATAATAAAAATAGGTCGTTCACTTTTCCCTCCTCGATACTTTCAAGAGGATTGGCTCGTAGTATGGCAGGCTTGTTCCTGGCATATATTTTTCTCGTCTTAGCTTGGAGGCACGGGTGCGTAAACTAATATTCAAATATAGGCCAATAAAATAGATTATTTTACTTTCTTTGCTTCACCTTTAGTAATCGACAATTAGAATTAATCATATTATATAGGTAATTATAAAAAATAAACTAGCTACATTTTATGAAATGGCACTTCATAGTAATGAAAAACAGAAATGCGGCCAAATACTATGTTCACTTATATATGTATCTCTTGATATAATTTACCCGATTGCCTATATTCGAACAAGCTATTATATTTTTTACTGTATTCAGATCAATTGTATCAGGAAAAAAAACTTTCACTGCTGAAATATTTCCCTATCCAGTTCATGTTATTTACCGTCGTCATCCATTGATGGATTTTCTGTTGGTCGCCAAGGAATCCATCTAGCAAAATCGCGGTTGAACCTACATCAACGGATACAACAAATATTTGAATTTAAACAAATATATCAATTTGGACTTTATTATTCTTAAACTCAAGTCGCATTGACAAGATTATAGGAAATTGGGTCACTTTCATATGATTATGAACTGAATTCAGGTTACCTTGAAATTTTGAACATAGATTTTTCTGTTGAGAACAATCTGTACTGTACTGGAATATGGGCGAAGGAGATTAAATATTTCACTCACCGCGAGTATTCAGTTTTCTCATCTGAGTTAATATGTTCAGTGGGCAACATTATACTAAGTTCATCTTTACTACAGCTTCCAAAATACATTTGATCAAGTAAAACCAAACAGCAAATACTGAGCACCGAAATTGACTTAGTTGTATGCATCGTATCTGACAAATTTAGAAATCTAAAAAAAATTGTAATAGAATGTATAGAATTACAACATTTACGATATTTTCGATGCGAATAAAAAAATACAAGCCTAATGGTTTATGTTTTTTAAAGCTTACTGCTACTTTTCCACTAGGAATCTAATACTTTTTCTGCAATGGAGCATTAGCGAAAAACATTTCACTCGTCAACATGAAAATAAATCGCCGAATGTTTACTAGAGATAACTGTTTCGATGTAAAGTTTTATATATATATATATATATATAATTTATACATATCTTTAAAATAAATGCCAAATAATTTCAGATTTTACAAAACATTACTTTATTATATATAGTATATAATATTATAAATAAACAATATAAACACTTCATTTAACATAAATCCATAAAAAAGTGTATATGTGTGAAAATTGATAATACATTATAGGCTATACGATACCCATGTACCTAATGGGAAACCCCGATATCCTTGCTCTCTTGTGAGCGATATACCAGCTTCTTAATATTTCACTCTTCAGATACCAACCTGGCGTTCAATGTGAAGTATTACTTGTAAATACCTCATATATATATTTCTCGTCGTAGTCGTTGGTATTAACGCATTTTATGTATATTCAATTTTGTAGACAAATATTTCCTGTAGCAACTAAATATCTGAATAGCTGAATTCTTACTCAATGCGGGATACGTGATCAAAGTGGTATAGCAGCACGCGCTGTCGTATTTTGCAAAAATTACTGTACTTCACCTTGAATAGACATCAGAACTTTCATTTGGTTTGCGTATGATTTAGTTATATCAGGGGTCACCAAACTTTTTTGACCGCGGGCCGGGTATGACTCAAACTGTGTTGAAACGGGCCGGACAAATATTTTTGTCAGTACAATACAATAAATTCACAAACCTCAAACTAACATGCACAACTCCAGCGTTTATTTGCGACGATCTTTCGGTGGTGTCAAGACCGTTGCCAGAATAAAATCCTGAAATAATCTCAATATTCCATAGATGTGACGCAGATAGAAAGATTAGTGATTGATATGTGTTCTTTTTTATATTTATTGCAGTTTTTATCAAAAAAGTAGTACAATCCTTATGGAAAAAATTGGCCTGGGGTGGTACTAAAATACCGTTGTCTCTGTTATTTATTGACCGTTTTTTTTATAAACTTGGTATTTTTTCTTATTTTCAGTCAGATCTATCCAATGGCGCAGTTTTTATATAAATCGGATAAACTTTTTTTGTAACATATCCACATGAATATCTGCATTTGTGCAGTATAGAATAGGGTTGCCATACCGTCCGGAAAATTCCGGACATGCCCGGAATTTAGGGTTAAATTTTGTGTCCGGGAAGAATTTAAAAATGTCCGGAATCCAGAATATTACTGCACCTGCAATCTTACTATGCACACTGCTAATACAGAACATTGTTATTTCGTACCGCGCGCATATTTTTACTACGAAGTCATGAAAATAGTTATGCACCGTCCGGAATTTTGCTTTTTCAAATATGGTGACCCAAGTATAGAAGTTAGTCTGAGTTGTGAAATTGGAGCAGTACGCGAGGGATTACAGTACTGTTTGCGCAAAATGCACATTCGAAGTTCTTTTTAGCACAAGAAACGTAAGCAGTTTCGTCGAAAGCACGCGCCACGAGTGAACGAGTGCATCTTTCGCAGAAAGCGTTGCGTACCGGTATGGAATTTTGGCCTATCACAGCTATTTCTAGACTAATTTTTCATTACTACTACAACATTAAAACTACAGCTTCTCATGAGGCAAATGATGATTGACTTGTTTGATTCATACAAAAGTGTCTGAGCGGATGCGAAAAGACCTATTATTACGTCACTTTTTTGCATCTTGCTGATTGGCCAATGTTACGAAATAAACAAGAAAGACGAGGCTCGGGAAAATTTCCCTTGGAAAAAAATTTCGCCATTTTTGCGTGTTATTGCGGGCCGGATAAAATGACGCCGCGGGCCGTAGTTTGGTGACCCCTGCTTTACACAACTTGATGTTGATTGGCCAATGTTACGAAATAAACAAGAAAGACGAGGCTCGGGAAAATTTCCCTTGGAAAAAAATTTCGCCATTTTTGCGTGTTATTGCGGGCCGGATAAAATGACGCCGCGGGCCGTAGTTTGGTGACCCCTGAGTTATATCATCGAGACCGAAAGCAACAGAAACTGGCAGTCAAACTGTGTCAGGTTTCCTACAATTGTAGCATTTTACATGATATGTCGCATTTTCAGAACCTCCACTTCATAAAAAGCGGTAGTAGCTACTAGGATGTGAATTGAGTTCAAAGCGCACGAAAGTTGGAATAGGGATATACAGGACATGTGCAAACTTATTCATACGATTACCCTGCGTTAAATACGAATAACCGCGGTAGCATATATATATATATATATATATTATTTTTCAAGTCCGCTAAACCGAGCACGAAAACATTAGACTGCGTTGTCATCACTTTCGAAGATGTCGAGCTCAACCGTACAATATTCAAAATCGGCATTCGTATTGGTACAATTGCCAACTCAATAAATACTTTGAAGAACGAGCAAAATTTCAGATGAAATGTAAACCAAGATATAAATCGTGAGCTGTCGTAAATACGGTGCTCCCGAAGTTTTCGTACCAAGATGGCTCACAACCTGAACATAGTATGTGTACCGGGTTAGGGTTGTTCAGGTTGCGCGTCATCTTGGTACGAATACTTCCAGAGCGCCGTAAATACTGGGACTGTAAGCGCAAAGATAAGAGCTTGCAAATAGACGTGCTTGATTCACTTTGGCACCAAGTAAAAATTTTATCTAGAAAAAATATTATTAATGTAAATAACACTTTATGGCGCCAGTTCATGCATCACCATCGACCGGGAATGATATCACCAAACATCCGACGTTTGGCGCTGAATGGGTGGAATATGTTTGTACAAATCTTGATTTTGCCTGTGTGGACGTGACGACTTGTAGCCCTAATTTGAAAAAGTTTCCATACCTTTTGTAAGATCCAGTAGTTTCTTGATGTGGTATGGTATTCAACCTGGTACTTGCCTTGTTCCTACTCTCACTTACACTTTTAAAACCTAGTTCGGTTCCAAAACGAATCCCACAAAAATTTTTGAAATAAAAAACCTATCGACAACAATCTTGAAGCACAGAAAATTTCAGAGCAATTAGTTCAATGGTTAAACAGGAAAGCGATTTCTTTTCACAACAATAACAAAAGAACAACATCGATTTCATAAAACGATCCATAGGTCCACTTCGCTTCTAATAGGTGTACTACTATAAAATCAGTTTCAGTTCAATCTAAAAGAAGTGAAATACCATATATATAATTAGTATCGTATACCGCCACAGTATGCAGCAATGCCGCCACAGCGTTCATGATAAAAAAAATGCAATAGATCAGCGATCGACAACCTGCGCCTTTTTGCTTTTGGGGCTCCAGCTTACGTTTTTCAAAGTGATTACAACAGCTTTTTGTTAGCAGCAGTGGGGATTCAATGAAAGGATTTCTCAAAGTATGGACGTTTCCCCGAGTACCGACTTACCTGTTCAATTCCGCAACATTGGCTAATCATCAAGACACAGTAAGTAACAAGAGACGTTTTAGCAGCCGCTCAGATACTTGTCCCTCACACAGATTTTCAGGCAAGACTGTAAACATTACCTCGTTTTCGCATGCTACTTGTTTGTTTTTAGCTGTCTTTCGGAAATTTAACTACGAATCAAATAAGTCAATGATCAATGAATTTTTTTATGACAGGTTGTTAAATGTTAAATGATTAAGGTGATTCAAGTCAGTCAAAATAAACTTTTTTATTTTGCCATAGACTGATTTATTGCATCATTCATATTTCATTTGGCTTATTCTTAGTAAGAGCATGATATAGTTCCTGCAAGATTCCCATGTATTGTAACTGGGCGAGCAGTCGAGCTATTTATATTAAATTCTCCCATTCAGATTTCAATTTTCTGTGTGTGAATTTAATTTGATGTGGTTTTCTACATTTTAATATAAGCATGAACTTTTTGTTTAAGTGAGGTATTGCTGTGGAGTTGACTTGGGGGCCAAAGTGGACATAGTGTGATATGATCAAAGTTGAGTGTTTTTGCATGGTGTGATAATTTCTTGTGTCCGTAACAGAATTTGCTTTTGCATCCTCTATCAATATAAAGTGATAATAATTTAATAATCAATACCTCTTAAAATCAAATCCATCTTCTCTAAGAACCAGATTATTGCGTCGTAAGCGGTCTATTCGAGAGTTCTAATAGCCAGTGACATTAGAGTAGATGTTGCGGCTCGAGTTTGATGGGAAGGGTGCCAAATGGCTCCTTCAATGATAAATGTTGCCGACCCTTACAATAGATCATTTCTTTCAAATTGTCCTGTTGAAGAGGTTCTCTTTTAAAAGAGAATGAACCTAAAGTATCCGCAGAATGTTTTTGGGGCAGTACGAGAAATATGTGCTACTTTGCAGTTGGTGTCTTTCAGCGTGCAATGCCGAAGAAGGAACGAAATTTAACAACGACTACAGAAGTTTTTGAAGCAGGATGGTAGTGACCCTAATGACATTGAAAGCCGATCGAAAAGTATAACTTTGTCGGAGTAGAATTAACTTCCAATAGATTTGCCATTGCTCAATAACATTTTTCGATATGGCATATGAATATAAGATCGTGTTTTCGCGCATGGATTTCATAAAATCGAGTACCAGGAGTCGCCTCAGTCTCGATATAAGCACTGCACCTTTAAAATTACACAATATCAACCAAGGATTTCGAGGCAAAATCAAGATTCGAACTCATGCAAACATTGATCAATTTGAACGACTTCCCACCCTCTTTTCAGCATTAAAAATATAATTTTTCACTATTTATTTTAAAAAGGATTAGCCGTTCTTCTCCTAGAGGTCGTCCAACCTTTTTGGCCGAAGGGCCACATGTAGTTTACTAATAAAGGCGCGGGCCACCTAACAGGGTGGGTATGTTCTAGTTTCGCTACACTGACTACAGGTAATACCCTCACGCTCACACCAAACTTTCACAATTATTAGAACAATAATACTGTTGTTTCCTAACCATTAATAGGGCGCCATCAGTGGTTATTCCCGAAAGTTTCGCCAAAGACAAGCCAAGACGCTTGACAGCTCCCAACAATTCAATGCTTCTAGTCCTACCCTTAATAGGGACAATGGCTGCGAGCTCTTCGGTAATTTCAAATCATCATTAACTCCCCGCGAGAAGATTACCAGGACGCCAATTGAGCAGTAAACTTGATGTCAGTGCTTTCGTCAAGCGCCAAGAAATATGATGAAAATTTTCCCGCCTTTGCAAATAAAGTTTCCGCTAGAGAGTTTCCAAGCTCTTCAACGCTATGAGTTATGGTCTGTCTTGACAGGCTATTTTCGCAAACACCTCTACTATTTCCGGATGGAAAAAAAGGCAACTCGAACAATACATAATATACATTCCTTAATAAATTCTTAATCTGAGAATGGGTTTGATAGTTTTGCGATAACATCATACAGAGAAGTAAAAGACCAAGTGTGTAAGCGACCATTGCACTTTTATGTTGATATCTCTCCCCAGTTGGTTTCGATTCAATATGGCACTTATGGGTCGTTTGAAAGAGCTGGCAGAGCGCATTTCAGGAACATAAAAAATCGTTTGTATGTATCACATCTTTGTATACTACATCAATCGAAAAATAGTTTTACTCAATTTTTTTTTATTCCATTCTGAAGAATACAGCGCGGGCCACTCGAAATGTATCCGTGGGCCACGTCCACGGGTTGGACGACCCTGTCCTAGAGCATCAGATTGGAAAATATGTGTGTTTCTTCACTCACATTCGCGTACTACCACACAACTATCACAAGTTTGGTAGAGAGTACCTCATCGTGTTCCATTACATTTGAACCCACGACGATTGCACCAGCACACTATTGCACCTATGAAATTTTTTGTTGTTTTACGGATATTTGAACCCATACTAACCCTAACCCATGGGTTAGCATCCGCATAATAATAATAATAATAAGTTTATTTCGACTCCATAATCAGCAATAGACGATAAAAAAAATAGATAAAAACAAAAGTAAAAGTAACTGATAACGCATATAGATTGAACCCGCGAATATACACATGGGTTCAAATGTACGGTCACCCTGTAGTTGTATTAGGTTTGAAATAAATTATTAAGTTCTTATTCTACTATGAAAAACTGAACTACTGATAACTGACTGAAGCACGAACTCCTTCACAATGCTTGCTTTCCCGAATCTATAATCAGTTTTATATATTTTGTTTTTAACAATTACTTTATCAGTCTATTATGCTGATTATGGAGGCGAAATAAACTTATTATTATAATTACTCGAAAACCGGTCTGGGATGACCAGGAGCATTTCCTAGATAAAATCTTGATTGTAACAGCGGTTTTTGTTGCTGCTAAAACACTACCCAACTAAAAAATATTGACAAAGTTAAGCCTGTTGTAGCCCTCAGACACTCGCAATAATGGGTAGCATGGCCGCAGTAAGCACAGGTGACTACAGTCTATATTTGACTATAATCTGTAATTTCAATTTAAATAAGTAATGACGAACATGTCCCATATGTTAAAGAATCGAGCTGTCGAAACTCGGAAGAAAATGCATTTCTGTTTGAAATTGCTTCATTAATGCTTTCATCAGATGCGGAGTTGTCAGACAATAGTTGAGATTTTTTATGGAAAAGGCTGAAAATAAATATGATAGTATAGGATTTTCATACATACATTGGCCAATGCGAGGCCTGAAACTATAGGATGGGATTTACATATTTATCATTGGGATAGGATAGAATTTACATATTTTTCCTCGGGGAGAGGAAAGTCGACAAGACGGCCTAATCATATGGCAAACCACGGCCTCTCGACCGATTACCAGTCCATGTGGGGAATGGTATCAGTTCGCCAGCTATTTGTTTCAGATGCATCGACTTGATGATGGAGGAAGCCGTAATCGACCAGCAGTTACATGAACCACCCCACGGAGGCGGGGAGTCCAGCGATCCTCTCGCACATAATTTTTCTCCACAAGATTCGAACCTGGATACGCAGGGTAATCAGAGGTAAAAAACGAATGCCTTTTCAGCTATGGAAGCTATTTTAATAAACTAAGCTATTAATAAGCATACCCTGCAAGCAAATATGCTACATATTTCTGTCTCAAAAGATCTTGTGATATTTCAAATCCTTGTTTCGCATCCAGAATAAGCTCTATGATTGAATTAAGACCTGTAAATACATGTAGGGTTAAATGTCTTTTACAAATCAAGACGCCTGAAACACTCACTTACAAACCCAACAATGGCATCAGGTATTACGATTCCAATACATGCGATAGGTGCACACAAATGTATCAATGTGCTCACATAGAACTACAAAATAATATTGACAAAATATTTTCTCCTAATTTGCAATATTTTCACAAACATCACAATGGGTAAGTGCATTATAAATATGAATGAAATGTCGGTTAGCTTGCGAGGTAATGAAATTTCATTTATTCATTCCACACCTTGCTTTTCTTAGGCCTACTACATAGCTACATAGTTTCTGTGACAGGAAAAAAAAAATTACAGAACCTAGTGAATTTGGAGCATATTCTATCAGTAATCAGTAGTTTATTTCTCACCATACTTAAAATAGGCACAAACATACAAATTGCAATAAAAGCAAGTCAATTCTACAGTCTTAGTGGTTCTTACACAGTGGGGTGCGCCCACGAAGGGGGCGTAGACAATTTGTTTAGAGGTCATGAAACTGATTAAAAATAAAAATATTTGTCAGATATTTACATTTCTCTATTGTTTAGAAAACTGGGATTCCATCCACATATTTTCAACGTGTTTTTTGAATAAAACATCCTCTCACCTTACTATTTGTTATTTGTAGCTTATTGTTAACAAGTTATTTTCAAGGTGGGTTGTGAGTGTTCACAATTTCTAAAAAGTGGGCACGGCCCACTGTTCTAGAGCAGCGGTTCCCAACCTTTCTAACCTGGCGGACCGGTAAAATTAGATTAAATGTACTCACGGACCGGCAAAATATTAAAATGGCCGGAACAGAAAAGAATAATATAATGCAATGTCGGGCACTCAATATGCTTCTAGACAAAAAAAAGCACACTTAAAAACATTTCACACGGAGAAAGACTATCAAATAATGTGCCGACCAAAAATTAAAAATGGGTGAAACATAAAATAATACCATATATTTGCGTAATGAAATGCAGTGCTGGGCACCCATTATGCGTAAGAGAGGCACGCATAAAATATCTCACATTAAAAACAGGTACATGCCAAATCATGTACAAATACAATTTCCTCCTGTGAGAATTTTGCTGCTGTTTCGTTTCCAATATAAGATTGCAAACGAAGCCTCAAAGAAGTTTTTGCAACACCTATCTATGCAGCCGCGTGCAGCCGATTTCTTTGCTTCGTTTTAATTGAATCTAGTGATGAAAATGTTTTTTCGCATAACGCAGTAACTGGCTAAAAAGACGGACAACAGTTTGATTACTTGACGATGGGTATTCGTTATCAAGAGATATCTAAAATTGTGATAAGTAATTTTTTTTTAATCTGGAATGTGAAGTAGAATCGCCATTTTAATCAAGTCTTTCCTTATTTATTGGGTTCATCATATTAATCCCTCTGCAGTTGAATGACGCCTCAAACGAAATGAATTTGCATTACAATGACAAAGTCGTCGGTGACTTGGCAACGAGCTTAAAATCCTACTGGAGTCTGGAAAAGATCTGTTGCAACAAGTTCATATCTTACTGGAATATTATACTGTTCTTGACTGTTTTCTGGTTTAAAAAAGGAGAGATATATGCATTACGTTTTATATGGGTGGTCATATTAATCAGGAAAAGCACGCAGAACAGAAAAAGCATGCAAGCCGATTTTGAGGCTCCTTAATTTTGCGAGATTTGATGGAGCGCATTTGCGATGAATCGGAGGCGAAGAGTGTGAATGCTCGGCGGCAAGATTTCGCGTAAGACGGCGTCAAGATGTCGCAATATGACGGCGGAAGAGAATTTCGTAATGAGTCAACGCAACTTTGTCTACGGTAAAGCGATTGAGACGGCATAAAAACATCAAAACAACCAAATTCAAAACGGGCAATCAATTCATTCAGGCAATCAAAACGGACCGGCAAAAAAGCTTCACGGACCGGCACCGGTCCGCGGACCGGCGGTTGGGAACCACTGTTCTAGAGAGTACATATCTTTTGTGCAAAGTGTCCAAGATAACTAAAATTTTTGGGTGAAATTTTTTCGTGGAAGTAATTGAGAAATTTATGGGTATTGTATTTTTTTTGGGTCATCCTATAATTTCTGGCTCATACTTACTATTTAAAGATTGATTTTTCTCATCTGCCATTTTCACCATTGCTTGAATCAATTTTAATCTACTCAAATCGAGAAGTGAACCGTTCGCTAAACACTCATGATTTAAGGTAGAGAGAGTTATGGCTGCATTTTGAGGCATCATTGAGTGTAACTGTAAAAATAAAGAGAGAAAAAACATGCAAATGGGAAAATTGAAAAAGAAATAAACAGAGACATTACTTTGGATCAAATCCAGTTTAATTTACCAATACCATTTATTAACCATTTAATTTGAAATAGTTTTTTTTTAATTTTTCTCTATAAAAATGTCCATTAAGGTGTTCTGAAGGAGACAGAATTTTCCTGAATTACGGAATTTGACTATATTTTTATTTTGATATCACGAAATTCCAGCTTATTATACATTCAGTATAACCCAGAAATATATACATTTATTTGTTTCATCACTTCATATTTCTGTTTTTTCTATAAAGAAACTTTACGTCAAAATAACGTAATTGAAAGCTTAATGCATTGTAACGAAACCTGTAGTTGTGCAATAAGTAGTTTGGCTTCAATAACAAGTCCATGTAGATAATATTTTGTGGCCGTAGAGAGAGCTTTAAGAAGAAAAGTTAACGATGTGGAGCTGTCACTTGATTCATCAAATAGATTTCGACAAAGTAATATATAAATCTGAAAAATATGATAACATGGATTGTCAATATTTAAACATATAGATTTAATTCAGTCTAATGAAAACATCTTCCATAGCCTCTATGCTTATTTGGGATAGACGCAAAATCGCAAATAAATATTTATCTCAGGAAGGCTGCAATACAGCTCATACATTTGGACCAAATTTGTTACCAAATAAGGTTAGATATAAAAGGAGTCTGCCGGTTCCTTGTTCCAAAACTAAGATGGAAGTTTAAATGGAGCTGTAACAAGCCGACCACTTATATATGATAACACCATATAATTAGGAGTCTAGCAATCAGTTTTTAGGCATGATTCCTCAATGGAATAAAAACTTTTATGTCTATGTTATCAGTCAGGGCCGGGCTTAGCTATTATTAGGCTCTTGGCATATCGGATTGAGTGGGGTTCAACCTGAGTAGATATTATTTGAATAACAGAAACTTAAGATTTTGTAATGAAAATGGGCGCTTCAGAAGTGTGTGTATCAATATGGATGTAACTAATTTTGTTGCACACTTTACATCAAGTTTTGTAAAGTGGCGGAAGCCTATTCCGCAGGGTATATTCACTTGGCTAACAAAGACAGTCCTCGAACTTGTGATAGAACCAAAATACGGAAAATCGTAATAAAATCATGGCCTAACCCTAACCTGGTACACACATTACAGAGAGTACCGAAAAATGAATTGGTCTTTAGATTTTATTAACTCTTGAGTGAGTAGAAAATCATAAAGTAACTTTACCCAATGTGTCATTGGTGTATGATACACGCTGACCCATTCATGATTATAATTTATAGTGGTTAAACTTCAAAATCCTAAGCGCAGGTCCAATTGACGGCATATGCTGCAGTGTCCAAAAGACGGCCCTATAATTAGTGGTGCATTCTCCTAACTATCAGATGAGTCGATCAACAATAACTTAACAACTATAATACCGTATGTACTAAAATAACAAGTTGAATAATTTATGTTACAACAGAAAAACGTAACCTACTCGACATCTAAGTTCTGGAGTACATTGTTTCATGGTGTTCATATTGTTTATACCAGGCCTAGTATCAGCGGATGCTGTTTTCAACATGTCTTGAAGCACCGAGTACGATTTTACTTCATCTCCACTTAAATAAAATCTTTCTGCTTTTCTGTGAATATACAAATAACTACAATAAATAGAAGTCAAGCATTTTGGAAACGGTTGATTATCTTAAAATAAGTCGAGTCGAGAAATAAAATAAAAGACGTTTAGAGTGTAACATGTAATATTCTATGTTTATGCTCAGAAAAGGGTATTCTGTGATTTCTGAATTTTATTGTATATAGTGAAAGATAAAGCTAATGCAATATCTGCATTTCAGCGATATAGAATCCCGGATTTTAAATCCTATTTTATTTAAAGGCCGGTGGGTAATAAAATGAATTCATAAATCACCCCTTCTATGTACCTGGGTCTCATACCTGTCGAAATAAGGCCGTGCTGAACCCTCAAAATAATTTCAGTATTACATTTTTACCAGTATTCTAAAAACATGGCATATTTCTAAGGATCGATGGATAACCAATTATGTTTCTAAAATTTTGTCATCAGCTAAACTACTTCTAACCGGTAATCAGCTTCTTGTTTGTCAAGGGCTATAATTTCTTGTTCAATTTGACTTGCTTCGGAAAATTTACAACTCCTTAGTGCGATCTTGTGTTTCAGTCGCAATTCAGTGAGTTGCCACAACTGGAAAAGTAATCATGATTATTCTGCAATCAAATTTTTGTAAAATCAAAAAGTCACTAGTGAAAATTGATCAAATGCGTTGTAAAATATGAATTACAGTAGTTACAATGACGTTACCTTGCTATGTTCTGTATTCCATGGAAATCTTTGTTTCGTGTGTCGTAATATTTCTTGAGAGGCACATGTATCTCCTGCCTGGAAGATAATAAGTTAATTCATTCAAACAGATAAAAATTATCAGGCAATAAACCTAAAAATTATTCCAAAGTAACTGTATTCCAAATAGCTTTTATCAATTAATTCCATCAAATCTCAGAAAAGATTAGTTAATTGTTATACACTGCCTAGCAAGGTGGTAAAAACAAGGGGGCTAGAAGGAATATCCAAGACAAATGAAATATTCAAAACTCGTTATTAGATATAGAAAAAATTGACTTTGAGGATAATTAAAAATATTTTCATTTGAAAATTTGTCAACTTGAACAACTGCTACCAGATTGAACATAAACCAATTTAAAATAAATTCAATATTTCATTCGTTATTTAAAAATATTATTTGGGAATGCATACAGAATAGAACAATATTTGGTTTTGGCAATCTGAAAAATGTAGAAACCGTAAAAAACTAAAATATTGATTTTCCATATTCCCTAAGAAAGAATGTCAATAAAGGTGCGTAATCACGTCTTTTGTTGAGTTTTCAGTCATCAGTCAGAGAAAAGACTTTTAGTCTTCTGGGCATTTGACTAAATGGTGTCAAATTGGGTAGCCAGAGACTTAGAAACAATACATTTCTAATGCTCCTGTAGGCTAATGACCTCACACACAAAAATGAGCTACCTCATGTGTGTTTGCTATATGTTTCTCTGCAAAATGTGGCTCTATAACTTACCTCATGCAACAACTCCACTAAGTGACAAAGTGATAAAGCAACTTCGGCTATATTAGGTTGCCAAGGAAACAAATTTGTACCCTTGCGACCTTTCAAATTGGTTGATAGAGCCAACATACAGTAAAGGGAAGCCATATGCCTGAAATAAAATTTGCATCGTTTGATCGATTCCTGGCAAAAAAGTACCCTTAAACTTTCATCACTCATGCAAATGAATAAAATATGATTCCGCCTGCAACTACATTTCAACATTGTAATATTTCAAAAATCTTGTAAATTTTTTGGTTTATCAATATGATAGCACAGTGATTCTCAATCAGGAATGAATTTCCCTCCAAGGAAGAATTATAAATTTCTTGCGGAAGAAATACAGAAACATTACTTTCTGTTCAGAGTAGTTTTACTAATATTGTGACACAAATTCATGCATACATATAAATTATTTAAATACTGGAGTGTGAATTACGAGTAATGCTAGCTATGGAAACAGTAAAGGTTTAACAAATAGCGGAAACAGTTATTACTAATATGACAGGTCAGAAGGAATAAATAGATCCAAAATAAGCGACGAAAGAAATATGTCGTAAAAGGTTGGGAACCATTTGCAGCTGAATTGCTAGCAGTAACTAAGGGGATGCTTATAATTTACATATTAAAGGTCCAAGCCAGGGGTGGACAACTTACGACCAGCGGGCCAGATCCGGCCCAACGAATTGTTTCATCCGGTCCACTTGTGTCTGCTGAAATTCGCTTGCTGAAACTATGCTTTTTATGAATATAGATTTTCATTGAAATGATCGATAAAATAACGTAATAATAATCATAATTAAGTTTAAACCTCTGGCTCTATATCCAATTCTATTTTTTGTAACTTCTGAAGTATTTATCGAAGTACAAATGTAGTCATACATACAAAACTTTGAAACTATCAATATACCTTTTCCCATACATTCTCCAAAGGGCACCTTTGTGAATATAACTTGTTGGGCTAAGACTCTCTATTGCTCTTGAGCTTGCAAGAGCTTCACTTGCAGTTAGTTGCATAAACACATGACAAGGTCGTTTTCCGAGCAATGCTTGCTTGTTATTATCTCGTTGAATAGCCTTGGCTGCAAGGTTCTGAAGATTAAGATGAAAAAGCATACTGAGGATACCAGAATATGAAATGTCTAATAACAAAAAATATTAAAACTTGCAAATACCTGCTGTATTACAGTTGTTATAAGTTAGGGGAAGCAATATGTAACCTATTGGATAGGATATTCATGTCCGTCCGACAGAGACAAAAGTTGAGAAGACAATGTCACCATATTGCATACCTCGAAATCTCATCAGCTATTAGTCCATGTCGGGCATGGGATCAGTTAGACAGTTATTTGTCTCAAGTAAATGGACTTGATAGTGGAGGATGTCATAACAGACCAGCAATTATGTGAATCACCCTACACCAGTGAGGAGTCCAGAAATCTTCTAGCACATTATTATCCCCCGCAGAATTTTAAAAAGGGGTTAGATAGCAAGTTACTTCTTAACGTTGAGAATGCTTAACCTAACAAATGACTGAAGCCCAAATTACAATTAATTTAAAGTTTTCTTATTCCTATTAACAGTGTTTATTTTTGAAAATGCTTTCCATTACCTTACTTAAAAATAGATTTTAATTCATTTCCAAGTTCAATAAAGCAAAATTTACAGATAGGAGTGTTTGATCCATGATCGACTAATGCTTTCTTGAACACATTATAAATTATTCAATATTTTGCAAACTTACAATTAAATTCATTTGTTTCGCTGGTTTAACTTGATGTTCCATCAGTGACAAATGAACATTACCTGGATCCAACTCTGACATGAGAGACTGAAAAAGCCAATATTCAATGTTAATAACAACACATTTATCACCATAAAGATAAGAAAATAGACAACAAAGATATGATATCTTCAACTGACCATTGCATGTTGCAAGCACTGCATATCAGCTGCCAATTGTGATAAATCGACAGCCTCTCGTACAGCAGCTATCGCAGCATTTCTATGCCCAAATCTATGATGTAAAAGTGCAAGATTTAGGGCAGTATACCTGAAATAAAAAGTTTCATCTTGTTATATTTTAACTCTCAATTCATTCTAACAGGAGAAGCAATATCACAAAACAAAAAGACACTATCAATCATTCATGAATCAATCATTCATTAAAATCTTCATTTCACATATTCTCAACTGTGAGATACCTTAACAATTTAGTTCGAGAATACAACAATATAAATTGAAACACTGAATTCATTGAGAAAAGGATGCCACGATATCCTAGCAATTTGTGTGTTAAGCTAACTGTGATGGTATCGCAGATTATACCTCTAAGGTTCAAATCTGAAATCAATACCCAAGAATAAAAAAAACTAACTTACACCCTTTATAACCAATTTATTTCCATATCCTACCTTACTTAATTATAGTAATTTTACTGTTACCGATAACTTTAATTACTTATTACAATCTGGACTATAATTTGGCAATAATAGGCTCTTATTTGGGGAATGAAGTGGTCTAGCCCACCTCTTCATGCACCCAATTCTGGCAACTTTGGTTGGGCATCTTAGCATTTGACTCCAACTATTATCAGCTTGGCAATATGTTTTCAATAGAATCTTCAATTTGGCAGTGGCAACCATTACAAAATTATCAATATGGTGAATCAAATGATTTTTTTCTTTTTCTAGTATTTTTTTTGTTTACTGTATAGTATACCCTAAATTTATCGCGTTTTATTCTTACTTAAATAACTTCTCAGTGGTTTGTGTGTGTGTGGTGGCTGGTGGGTGCATGTGAGCGTGTATGAAATAACCTAATAATTTTAGGTGAGTAAACACGTACCACTTCCTCTTGGCAAAACCTTCCATCTTATATTCTGTACGTTATAAACCTTATCCAAGGTTTCGTTTGCTCCCCTGATTTCATAATCAGTTTTTATTTATTTGTTTTTATCTGTCAAGTGTATTGTTATGCTGATTATGGAGTCGAAATAAACTTATACTTATTATACTTATCCCATGCCACCCAAACTCACCCAGAGGATTTGGGTCCTTTCAACTAATAGTAGCTCTTCAGATATCAGTGGCTGCTTGTATTGGGCCTGGTTCGGACCCAAACTGTTTGAATTTCAGACTCTTTCGAATGTCAGATTAGTTAGATAGAAGATCCCCTATTTCAATACATTTAATTTTCTTACGAGTTTTTCTTCATTTACTCAAAGCAAGGATTTATGTATGAGCAGCTAATGACCATGTAAAAAGCTACAATTTCACATGGTCTGGTAACCGGCTGATGGGCCTTTTCTCACCTCGGATTGAATATGAAAATCCTATCTGCTAGGCCATCACATCCACTAATACTGACATAATCAATCATAATTTTGAAAAGTAAAAATTAGTTGTATTTCATCCATCCTTTAAATCCGCGTAACGATTTACCCGGTAATATGGCCTGCCAAACTTAAATGAAATATTTTAAAACACCTAATGTTTTATTGTGTTCTATATACATAAATTGTTATGTCAGTGTCAGAGTTTAGGCATGTGTATATTCCTAACAATTTGGTTCGATATCTTAACAAATCGGTATATTAATTATACGAACCGGTACCGATAAGGGCCCCTTGCATGAGGTCCCTTCTCTTGGCCCGTGAATTTCCTTCAGCTTCTAATTTTGACCAGCGGTCAATCAACTTTGGGAACCACTGCTTTAAATGTGTTATATGCATGAACATCAATATTCATATATGTTAATGAGTATGTACCTGCATATGCCAGAAGCTTGATCAGTTGTTGAAGAACCTTGTGTATTACCCTTAGCCTTGGCATGTCGATTAAAATATGTCAGTAGGCAATCAATAGAACCACAGAACTCACGAACTCGGAGGCAATTGAGATAGCTCAAATAATGCTGTAAAATTATAAAATTAAATGTAAATATATGGCCAGTATTGGCAACAGTGGAGATAAGAAAAAAATCTTACTGCTTCGGTAAGTTTAGGATTATTTTTTAAAATTTGACTGATTTTGGCTTGCAATTTAGGAGGTGACATAGCCATTGTTTCTTTATCTGTGATCAGAGCTGCTTGCTGAGCAAAGAAGTAGTCTGCTTGCTTCGATGTAAATACTTCTGTTACTTCGAGATCTTCAGACCTTGCATTAAAAATATTAGAAGTAATGTTAAACTGTAATACACGGGGGACGAACGACGGAAATCACATTTTTTCAATTGATTTCAGTTTTATCCCATATAGTCCAAGGCAAATTTTTTTTGCGACCCTTGATCTGCGAATAAGCAGTCATCATGATGGATTAATGTTTTGAAAACCTGAAATCTTTCATGCATAGTTTAGTCCAGTGGTTCTCAAACTTTTTAAGCCACTCATCTTTTACAGAATTTGTCAAGTATCGCGCCCCGTCTCAAGTATGTTTTATTCAAATAACACGTTAAAAATACGTAGATGGAACTTAAATATTCAAAATAAAGAAATGTAAATATCCAAAACAAGGCAGACAAGATCAATTCTAACAAATATTTTTATTTTTAATTAGTTTTCACGCCCCCTCAAAAAGGTGTCTACGCCGCCCACCTTGTGGGGCGTGCCCCACTGTTTGAGGTGGTTTAGTTCATCATAAAGCTTCATTATACAAATGGGTTGAGTTGAAACCAGACAATTTGATTTTCAATGTTGAGATGCCAGTGTAGCTCCGACAACTGCTAAGCTCATAAATTGTGATTTAAATCTATAAATCAGTAAATACAGTTGAAAATGAAGTAGATAAAACAATCTATCTTCTACCGACCGTTCATCTGTTTTCAGATCAGATGGTTTTAATTCGATGCCGAGTGCACTTTCTTCACTGCTTTTGCTGTCAAGTTCACTCTGGCTTTCCAATTCCATTTCATCAAACGAATCGCTTTTGTCATCATATTCATTTATTACATCATTGATGACATCATCACCCGCACCATGATGAAATGATTTCTTTAGGTGTGAAGGCGGCTTAAAATACAAATATAACAAATTACTTGTTGGAATAGACTATTGGAACAAATTGTTTTTGTATTAATGACAGATGAAAAAGAAATTTCCTGGAGTATCCTTTCGATACGACATCTGCTAACTAACTGGTCACGGTATTTAAATCCTTAGAAAGTTTAGTTGTCCTCGTAACTGATATAAACTGAGATAAAACTGAGTCCTCTACTTGAGATACATACAAAACACCATTAAAATTAAATGGAAACTCTGTGTAATACTATTTCAAACCAACAGAAATAAACTTTCCACTGGAGCACTCTTGGTGTGATGAGACAATTGAAATACTATATCTTGGGAAGGAATTGGGAAGTTCACAAAATTGTAATAGTTGTACCTTCCTAGATTCCAGAAGAACGGAGCAATATCTTGTTAATTTATCCAACAATGGCTTCAGTTCGCAAAATGGTAATTTTTCATGATGAAGAAACATCGATCGACAGAATAAACCTGAAAAAAACAATGTAGCCAATCATAAAGAAGATGTCGAATAAAACCTGTAAAGCTCTATTCGGGTCTAGTATAGCTTAGTACCACAAGTTATTCCCAACCCCCCACCTGACTATGTCATCCAAAAATTATGTCACTACGACATCACAATCACGTCATACAGCTTGCCAAAATATAGCTATGATCGCCCCAAATGACACCTGCGCTATCAAAAACAAACTCATTAACGCCAGCAATCTCTCTCATATCGAGATCATTGCGACGAGAAAACGAGAGCAATAACTTGCTCGATTTCGGGTTATCGTCTGCGTTTTGGACGACCCTATGTACACTTTGGAAGGCTTTTACACTGTGACATCACAGTGATGTAATTTTTTGGTGACATAGTATGGTGGGGGTTAGGTATAACATATGCAAAAGTTGTTGAGCCAGGCCAACTAAAAGTGCATGTAGTACTAAACTATACAAGACCCCTTTATTCATAATAAGTTTGAAAATAACATTTACATACCAGTAATTCCACTTCTTTGCAATAAATTAGTTTCTTGTGGGCTAGAAATGAGAAAGCCTACATCTTCGAAAAAGTCATCTAGAACCTGAGGCGAATCTGTTTCACACAGACTTTGTAATGTGTTGCATAACGATGAATGTAAAGTACGAGAACAAGATCCAAGAATTTGAAGTATACTCTAAAAATAAATTTGGTACTGGAAAGTAGAATTACAAAATATTTTATTATAAATTGTTATGAAATATTATCTGTTTTTTTCAAATGGTGAACCACTGCCAGTTATCAGTCCATTGTTGGCTATTATTAGCTTCAGATGCGAAGACCCGATGGTGGAATGACAAAGGTTTAACTGACAAGGGGTTACTGAAAACAACCTACAGTGATGAGAAGTCCAACAATCTTTTTGCATATATTTATCCTTCAGGAATTCATACCTGCAAACACACGCAGAGTAATCAGCTGAAAGAGATGGCAAGAGCATTACTGATGCTTTGCATTATTCGCCAACTGCCAAGCTAATATAAAAAGGTTATTGAAAGCAACCCATCTGAAGAACTATACTAAATACGAGGACAGAATATTTTGAAAATTTTGCTAATATCACATAGTATAAAAATGTTAAAGATAAGTTGATATATCATGTGCAAATCAAAAAGATTTTCATGTAGTGAAAAAACAATTTGATAACTAGTCAAGATTAAAATTGATTTGGAATAAAAGAATATTGAATACAGTATAATCAATCCATCTACAGTCTACACTTAACATTAACATCAATTTAAATAAGTTCTCAATTAAAATGGAAGAAAAATCAAAAAAAAAATTTCACCTTCAATGTACCATCTGGTTGTTGAATCCAATTTAACAATGATAAATTGAGTTTACGTTTGCAGATAACTTCATCTGAAAGAAATAAAGCAAAACTAATACAATCAACCAGCAAAGTCTATATACTGACATATGAAGAATTATATTTTTCAAAGAATAATAATTTTTTAAAAAGTAGTTTTGAATTTACATTGGTGATGTCGCACTACTTGTCATATGTTTACATGTTTTTTTTATAACAGTAGAACATTCAATGTGAAAGTAAGAGTTTCAGATTTTCTAAGCCAAAACAATTTTGATATTACCAATTACTGAATTCTGGAATTAGAGCTACAAAATCAGAAAAAAATGAAACCTTCTCAGAGTAGAAGAGGGATAGATATCCTAAATGTTGAAATGGAAAAAAAAAACTTTAACAACTCACCATCAAGCCAAACAATCCTTGGATGTTCGTGATGTTTTACATCACTTTCCATTACAGCATAATTTTTTATTAAAGCGAGTAAAGTTATTTTGTAAGGAGTTATAACTTCGTAACCAGATCCTTCGGAAGAAAGCATCTCTCTGTCTCTAGCCGCAGATTTGACCAACTACTGAACTAGCCTAGTAGAAATCAAGCACGTAAATACAGGAATATTAGTCTATCAAACCATTCTTTCCATATTTTATTATACTTTAATTGGAAATAGGCTATTTACATAGCATAGTTCTGTAATTAACAAGGCCTATTGCAATTCTGCAATTCAATTTCGTTAGCTAAGGGGAATTCCCACATTTGACGACAAACGACAATGAGTGCTCTCAGCGACATGAGGTGATCGGAGCAACTAGTAAAAGTCAAAATTTTTGATGATGAACTGGTTTATATGAAAAACTTAAAGTATTTATTTGCGAGAAAACAGACTCAAATAATTACTTTTAAATTTATAAATTGTTTTTTAATCATTTTGGCAAACTTTTCTTCCTAATTTCTCTTTTGTTCATATTATAGTCGGCGCTATCTCCACCATGATAGCCTGGTGGCCGGGAATAAGTACAAGTTTATTTCGACTTAATAATCAGCATAACAGACGGTAAAATAATTGATAAGATTATAATAAATGAAATTTATATAGAATCAGGAGAGCAAAAAATAAACCTCAAGTAATGTTAACAGATTAAGTTTGAAGGTTTTGCCAAACGAAGTGGTAGCTTACTTGTTCACTCAAGGGTGGTACCAGCGGGTGGTACCGACCGTTTGCTCAATGACTCAATGTCATTGGTTTGCTCTAGATCAGCGTTTCCCAAATTTTTTTGGCCATGGAACACTCACGATTTTTATCTCGCCTCGCAAAACACCAAAAAATAAAGAGTAAATTTATGAAGAAAAATGTTGTAGTGCTGCGATTTCCAAAGGGGTGTGGCGAGGTGACAAATGCGCCGCAAAATCTAACAGAACTAAAATATGATTGAATATCTTAAATATTGCATTTATTTATTGTTTCTTATTTTAAATGCTGTGTATGTGAATCAATAAATTTATTTTACATTCCTATGCTGACGGTTAATGAAAATGCCACTACCCTCAAAAGGCTAGTCCGCTTTAGGTCGACGGTGACGCGATATTAAACGGTCACCAGTTGGTCGACAACTTCACGATCCCGAGATCGCCATGGCGACCAATTTAGTCGTAAATTTGATCCCTTTTCCACGGAACACTCAGAAGACGGTTTGGGAAACGCTGCTTTAGATAATTCGAAGACTGATTGTTGAGTTAAAAATACTCCCAAAATAGCGGAGTTTTTTTGAATATCCACATTTGAACACCAAAGACTATAAGTTATTCATACCATATAAGCAACAGCATATGAAAATATACCAAGAACCTTTTGTACTAACGGTCAACTTTTCACCTCCGTTGTATTTATGACATTGTCACTCATTGGTGCTGTTAAATATTGATTAACGTGTTCTCTGTACATATTAATCGTTATTTGTGTCGTATTGTACGGTATTGATATATCCATTATTCAGATTGATTTTCTCGTACATACACCCTGACAATGTTACCTTACCAACCCTCCACCCACGGCTTCACTTATACACTGTCACATCATATATACCAACACGTATCATTCACTCTCACTTGATTATTAAACCCTTGATACAAAACAATGACGATATGGATACGATTTTACCATATATATATAGCACGCGGTTTGAATTCATTTTAAATTCAAACATCACTGACTGTCGCATGTGAATTAGCAAAGAACGCAATGGAAGATCCACGTGTAGTATATATTATCCAAGTCATGAATGGTAAAATATATAAATGAACGAATTTTCACTCATAAAAATATATAACAACAAAAGAGAAACAAACATGGTTGTATGATAGCAAAAACGGAATTAAAAAAAGGAAAATATTTAGGATTTTCCGAATTTGCTTATTATTAAAAACACTTCGCTGACGCAACTCGTATTCAGCTTTGTTTTCAAAATCTGAGGCCAAAACTGTTGATCTCAGATCGTCTACCAAATGTCTCACACTTATTATTATTGAATATAAGTAAAACAAGTAAGTGATTCAAAATTTATCTCTATCACGTGTATCACGAGTATTTTTATCATTTTCCCACTTCTTTAAGAGGTGCATTGTCATTGACGGCTTCGCTCTCATATTCAAATCTTTTCATCTCCGGTTTGATGCTGAGAGTAAGTATTTGTACAATGACAAAAAGGATCAGAACAATTACGTAGAATTGAACTTTTCCAAAATTCGTCATTGCTGCACGAATGACAATAGGGAGCAATACACAAAAAACACTTCCTACCAACGAAATGAAAATTCCCTGGGTAGATTCTTGTACCGTGGGGTAAACATGTTGCTTCAACATCTCCTGTATGAAAGGATAGGCTGACAGCGTTGACAGTCCATACATAAAGTTACTGATATATTCCAGTACTTTTATATTATATATGAATGCCAGCATTGCCAAAATGACGTTAACACAAATGGAAAAACTTATTATATTGGCAACTGGATTGTAGGATTTCAATCTATCTACTATGGCCCCCATTCCTATAGAGCCAATGATTCCGCCGATAGAATACGCTGTCAGGACAAAACCTCTACTTACGGATATGTCGGCGGCGGCGTCGTCAGACAACAGGGTGCTGTTACTCAATTCTAACTCTGATTCGTTTGCTGGTACAAGCATATATTCACAAACAAAAACTGTATCGATGATGGTAAACATCAGAACGAGCGTCAAACTTGTTCGTTCCGTCGCGATATACTTTGATTCCTTCGCAAATCGTAGTAGTGTTGATTTGTAGCTTTTTTGCTCGGCTTCTCTTGCTGTCGTTAGTCTTTGTATTTCAGCATGCGATGGTGGAACTTTTGGCGAATTTGGTATAAACAAGCACAAAATGAATAAAGTAATTATTGCTAGTGTGGACATGGCGTAGAGGCATAGTGCCACATAAAGCATTTTTACTGATAAGTCAGTAATTCCAGCAAATAGTATGCTTGGCAATATTGAAGCCGCGACCACTGCGGCCATCATGGCAAACCAACCGATACCCAAGACGGTTGCTTGCTCTCTTTCTCCAAACCAAACTGTTGCAGTCACTGGGATTAAGGCAAAGTACACAACGCATGCAAAACCAACTGCAACCTCTGCTATCATGCAAATAAAAAGATACTTTCCGACATATATCACCGTAGCAAAAATGGTGAAGGCTATTGCCTGAAGACTAATTGTGACAATATACCATATTTTTATGGCAGTTGGCTTATGAGTGAATAGATAGCCAATAACTGGCCCCCCTATGAATTGTCCAAGTGCGGCACATATGGTTAGCCAATCTATGGTTTGGTGAGACACCTCGAAGTGTTGGGACAATGCTTCGTTGATAACTCCGAAGAAATGCCATGCAAACATGATCAAGAATCCACTCAAAAATAGTAAACATGCCACCAACCATCTGACTCCATACAGCTTAGTTTCATTACTCTCTAAAAGTTTCGCTGTTTCAATTACCTCGTGGTGCATCGCAAGACTTCAACGTTCCCCGTACTGCTCAACAGCCGAATGTGAGAGCAGTTTGGCACAAGTGTTCATTTTTCCAACGAATACGTTGGCTTCCAAAATTGTTATTACCGGAAGGAAATAGGCTATTCACGCAATTCTTAAATGTTTCTGAGCACCTGTTAGTAAGACGAAAAATGCTGGACGTTGAAATCTTCTTTTTTAAAAGACAATTTATATCGATCAGCGCGTGAGAGAACTTTCGAAAACACGTATAATTTCCATATACTGCGGTTTCTATGACCCTGTTTAAGTAAACCTGTTAAATAGTCAAAACTTCCGTCGATGAATTTAAACAGTTTGCAAGATATTCTGCAGCTCAGCTATGATGAATTATCATCTTACACAATTGTGCTTGACGAACAGCGTCTTAAAAGCGTAGCACATATAGTATTATCTTTGTGTTCGAAATTTCTTTCTTAATTTAAAATACTTTTTCGTTGTAGCGTTATGATGAATGTAAAGTCAAATATTAGCACATGTACAACAAAAGTTTTTTTTTAAAGGCACAAATTAGCGTAGTATGTATGGTGACAAATGACGCCGTACTTCCATTTTATATTGGTGTCAATCATTCAATGATGAGCGTAATATTGCGATAAATCGATTTAAATGAAGAAACGGCAGGTAAAGAGATAGAAATTCTGTCTACCTATATCCCACTAGAAAGAGTTGATTTGAGAATGCAGTCAAATGGTGTATGGCATTCCTACTTTGAACACGAACCTTAAACGAAATATTTAGCTGCATATTAGTACTTTCAGTTGGTGAGAAGATGCTTTTGTAATAATGAAGTTGTGCAAGAATATAGTTCCGCGATAACGGAATCATGACAGAATGTTGTTTTGTGGGATCAGATTTTTGTCTCTTTTATGAGAGTTAAGTGAAATACTGACTATGGAGCAATACCAAAACTATGCATTTTGCATAATTGGTACATAAGCTTAATGATTTTTGAAGGGACGTTTCCACTACTTGTATTACACTTCTTAGTATCACACCAATGGGAACAGCCCGTTTTCCACTCGTTAACTGTAAACTCATTTGTTCACGTCACATGTGTCATAACGATTTACTACAAATAATGATCAATTACCGCATTGTTTACAATTGCAGTTCGCATTAAGAAATTGCGCAAATGTCTGTTCCCGCAATGACTTAATATATTTTCGCAAAAACTACATTTTTGAAAACGTGTAGCTCAATTCTTCACCTACACAAAAGTAATTGCAAAGTTTGCGGTTGCAGTATTACTATTCGTGCAAAAGTATAATTTCGCATACTTCTTGAGGTCGAAGTTTGAAGACGACAGACAATCCAAAGCGAATTTAGTCGTCGTATACGTTTTCGTCAGACTTTACAAAAATATCTAGCAACTAGCGAGATTATTTGCTACGTCTAGACTGGAAATATCTTTAAAATTTTAACATTTTATTAAAATATTAGGCGCATGTAAATGAGATATATTAAGAAAATCTAATTATTTGAAAATAAAATATTCCTTATTTTTTTATCTTGCCCGACTTATTTTGGATATTTACATTTCTTATGTTGGCAGCCAAAAACAACCATTTACGTTCCGTAACTTCCGTCCACGCATTTTAAACGTGTTTTTGAATAAAACGCCTTTCGTCTTACTATCTGGTATTTGTAGCTTATTGTTAGCTTGTTATTTTTGAGATGGGGCGCAAGATTTATTCTTTTCTAGAAAGGGGGCGCGGCGTAAAAAGTTTGAAAACAACCGGGTTAGAATGATTAGTTTGTATTTATGCCTCAAACATTCAACATTTCACAAGTTTTTTTTGATTATGATAAAATTATTTAGAGGCTTGTATTTGTGAAATAACGTTGCACGATCATCACTCTTCGACGCGCAGCGCACACTGTTGCTTTAGAGATGTCTTCCGTGTTTCACAAGCTTCTGTTGCATCAATTTTCCAATTTTAGACATTAAGGTGTCCTGGAATGGTTTAACACAAAGTTGGCAACCCTACTTACAACCAAAATGGTGACGGCGCGGGTATTGCCTATTTCTAGAGGAATTTGTATATTTCAATCTTCGTTAACATGCTGATACACCCGAACCCTAACGAGGCAAAGGTCTTCCTCGGGGTGCCAAGGACGCCAATAATCTTTCAATAAAATTGGTCAGAATGAAGCGTGGGACAAATAGGACAAGTGGAACGAAATTTTTGAGACACCCGAAGAGAGTTATGAGCACACAGGCTGATAACAGCTCGGCCCAATACAACATCATAATAACGTGAAATTTGACAATTTTGCTGGACCATCGTCTGTTCAATAAATGCCTCAGGGTGCCTAGTTTAAACATATGTTCAGAACTCATCGATTATCGTTATAAGACATAAATTCCCACAGATTCGAAAGCTCAGGTTACAAAAATTAAAGCATGGGCGACGGAGGCATGTGATACGGATTAGTGATCACCCAGTGACTTCTGTTCAAGGATGACCGTTCGTAAGATTTTGAAAGAATGTATGTACTGATCCAATGAAATCAACGATTCTCGTTCGCGAAGCTGCCCAACAGCGTTAATTCAATTTGTTACGCCCGCCATCAGCCCAGTTAATGAACCACGTTGACGAAGATTGATAATATCAAAAAACGACCCATTAGGCACGACAAAAACACTCGGAAATTCTCTCGAATATTTACTATGTTACGTGAATTCCATTTTTAATTTTGGGGTCAAAATTAGCCCTTTAATTGCAAACTAAAGTCAGTGAATGCCCTCCCAGGATTCGTAGCTTGTCCACAAGCATGTATTGTGGCTAGTGCAATACATTGATAGTCGTGGCGTGTAGCCCTATTTTTTGTGTTAACCTTAGACACATTGCGTCTTACCGTTAGTAATTTTATAACGAAAAACTCCCAATTTATCTACTGAATCTAATGAAATTCTGATCAATCGAAAAATTAGATCAGTGCCGATTTAAATATGTCTCCGCATTTCAGATTTTTTTTTACACTGAGATATTAGAATTTGAAAAATAAAACTTAGGGCGATTAACGGTCACTCATCCAACGGACAGATGGTAAACACTTGATGAGCATAGTTTCATCAAATTCGTGAATTTGCATATTTATGGTGTCGGTAGTAATAATTGATGTACTAATATTATTTTATAAAGTTAATCCGACTCTCTAGTCAAATTACTAATCAATAGCATTTATACCAATATTTCGTGATTGTGGGAACGTGATTGAAATTCCTTGGAGGTGCATTTTTTCTAGACCAATTTGCGATTGATTATTTTGAAACTTTTCGTGATTCTATCAAGAATTGAAACTTTTCACTTCAAACTTGATTTGAAAATTTGTGTTTTTTAACCACAGAGTTATTGAGAAACTGTTGTGTGGCAATCCCGAATTGATTCCAACTCACAACTCTGATTGTGCATGTACCTCCTCCAACGATTGCTGGCGATGCCTCCTACACTCACTGATATTAATTAAGATGACAGCTTACATATTGTTTTCTGAGCTGTATTGTTGTGTTTGTATCACGGAGTAATGAACAATAAATGATTTAAAATGGTGAAATATCCGATTAATTGTTGTCAGAGGCTATGTATTATAAATTTGTAATGTTTTAACAGTTTTTGTATGTAAAAGTTGATGTTTTTAATCGAGCAACACCTGCTTTTATGTCAGATGAGAATCCTACCACCCTACTTTCACATATTTTTAAAACATCAAATGCATAGGTACGAGAGAATAGTGTTTAACCTTTTTATGGATTCGACTGTGACGTATTAATGTCATAAACTAAAAAATTTAAACCAGAGTGCAATGCAGTATAATTCTAACACAAAACTTTTTTTGATTCAACTAACCGCTATAACTTTCTCTTTATTCCGCAAATAGATAGGTATTTTATAAGTAAGCTGAATACGGCTTTGTCGATGACTTCGTTGTTCTAGTGTTGTTCTGATGTTATCTATATATTTAGCTTCCATGAGATATGCTTTTATTTACAGTATACAACATAATAACAAAGTTTGAAATAGCAATTTGAAAAGAAACAATAGCAGGGGAGAAGTATGCCGTTAAAGAAGTATCTCAACCAAATGAAATGAGGAGAATAAATAACTGATGAGCCAATAAAAACAAACATTTGGAACTCATCTAGTTATTAGAACGCCTTTATTTGCCAAAAAAGTCAGTTCGAATTGATTACAATCAAGTATCAAAGTATCCAGTTATCAAAAGTAGTTTTAGAAATCTGTATTCGCCTGTCAAAAGTAGCTTAGAGGTACATCGATATGCTCAAATGGATGAAAGCAATTATAGCATCACCAACGGAAAAGTAGTCGTAATTCAGAATATGCAGACTGACTGCAAAATATGACAGATATAAAGACGTAATTGAAGCAAAATTTGCCAGCCATAGTGACGTTTCCATGTAAAACAATGATAGGTGATCAATATCGGACAAAGTTAGATTCTTAGGTTTTAAAATTTGTCTCGAATATCGATTTCAGCACGTAATTGTCCATCAAATTTCGAGTAATTGGGTAAAAAATCAATAGAACATGAAGTAGACGGAGGCCAATCAAATTTCAATATTTATTGGCTGTCCTAATATGAATCACACGGCAGTTGACTCAGGTTTGGCGTCGGCAACAATGTCATTGTCAAAAAATTCGTCTTCGTTGTGATCCCTTTCACTAGCGGGCGATCTTGTGCTCGGTGTATCTTGAAAACAATTTTTTGTACATTGATAACAAGGTATTGATTGGAAAAATTGTTCATAACAACACTGACAGAATCTGTTGTTTTTATTAATATGAATTGAAAAAAAAAAATGTCTGCCGAACTAGCTATCTTCAAAATGTATCTAGAACAGCGGCGCCCATGAAACATTAGCCAGATTTTAAAATAAATATTTGGCATTTTTACTCTTTTTTGATCGAACAAAAGAAACGTAGTTAACTTGAAATATAGAAAAAATTGCGTTACTCAAATTGGCGCTGTGAGATATCTTTTTATATATATAGAAGCACCGAAATCAAATTAATGTATATGTTAAATTTATCACTCACAGACTCTATCGGTTCCCGTATTTTGTTCATCAGATACATCTAAATTTACGTCAGCTTTTTCAAATGCGACTACACTCGCAAATGGCATCAGTGGCGACCGCGGACTGAATTTTGTATTTTGCTCGCTTGTCTGTGAGCCACCTTTGATAGATTCTCCCTGTGGTTGCTCTGGTACGTTGTTTCTGCGATAACTACTGCGAGTTCTCTGTCTCATGGTTTCTCCAATAGTTGAAAACATTCTTCGAGAGAAAGACTTCATATTTCCAACAGCCTCGGTAATGTACTGACAGGTAAAAGCCTTCTTGAAATCTTCTCGAAACTTCTTCGAAACAAATGCGTACACCAAAGGATTTATGCAGGAGTTGGCGTATGCCATGCAGTGAGCGATCAGTCGAAATACAAAAGTAAATTTTGATGTGTAGTCAAAATTATCATCAAACTGCATCCACAGATTTACGAGGTGATGAGGGGCCCAACATATTGCAAATAATACAACCTGAAAAAAAAAACTCTGTTAGAAATCAACGTTGCTACATTTTACATAGTTATACTGTTTTTAACATTGAACGTTTACTATAGCTTCCAATTTCATCAGACTGAGAACATACTGTACACACAATCCCACCAATTAAAGTAACAGGTTTTGCTTAAAATAAATGTGTGCATAAAGCAATAACCCAACGTCAACACCGTCAGATGGGGGAACACGCGAAAGGCTAAGGATGAAAAAGAGTTGTAGTGATCAACCAAAAGCTATGTATAAAAATTGTTCCTAAGATCCTCTACAATTACTACAAAGGAGTCTACTGTGACGAAACTGACACTAATGAATATACTGTGTGCATATATAATAAAATATGAATAAATATCGCATCAACAAGGTCCTATTATCTGCCACAGCAAAGTACCAATGGAATCTTTGTCTATCAACGTTAAATTGGCTGGGGATATTGAAAATTCAATATTTTTACTACCATTCGATTACGATAATACGATCAGTTTTCAGTATTTCGACTCATTTCATATTAACGTGATAGGAAATATTATTTATTTACACAGAGAGAAACCCCATTGGAAATTTGGATTCTAGAACACTGTCATGTTTATATTGATGTGAATATTAAATGACGCACTGAGCAGATATCTGTGACGCAATACAATAATCAAAATTCGTCAATCGTCATTCCATAAAGCTAGTATTGAGAAATCCGACCATTACCCAAAATTCGCAATGGGTCGGATTCAATATTGTAAGAATGGATTCCCTTTTGTATCGAACGAACAAGCAACAGGTCTCTCATATCCGAAAATGTACGTATCTTACGAGCCAAGAACGGGTTCGCTGACTACCAAGATATTCCAGGAGAGGGTTCGCGCTAACCCACTGAATGCCACGCATGTCACCAACCTATGTCTTTTCAAGGGCAAGGGGCTTGTTTATAGCTCTTTTACCATTCTGTCGTCTCTGGAGCATTTACTTAAGCCAAAAAAGTATGGGATATTGCTGACCACTGTTTTTATTATATATCTGACAATCCGGAACACATAAAGCAATTCTATTAAGGTTTCAATGTCTATCAACGTCCTAATATGGTTCTTGGTAATAATAAGGAAATGTCAGTTTTATAATTTGATAACACCTACCACCATGATGACAATACGGGTGACTTTCTTTGTCGAGTCGTTCCTGTTATTTCTTGGCAGTGAACTTTTCCTTGCAGTGCTGCAAACTACGTAAAGAAGACCGACGTAACAGCAAATGATTGTCAGCAAAGGGAACAAATACCTGGAATAAATAACACATAAAGTTGCATTTCAATTTATATATATATGGAATATTGTTTTTAAAAATTGAAACCTTACCCAAACAAAAAGACGCAGAACTCGTACCATTTCTTCCAGCTTAGCTTATTTGGCATACAAAGAGTGTGGCCCTTGTATATGATCTGGAAAAAGCACGATTGAGTTGAAATAATATATTGTTCACATATATAGGGAGAAGAAATATAATTTTTAAATAGAAAATAAATTGATAGTGTTCTGAAAAAGGAAAATAATGATTTTTTATCGCCTCAAATCTGTCTATTCAGGGTGACAAAATTAAGTGCGATTAATCTGTCTGGATATTTACATTTTCGGTCCATTTCAATTTTACCTGCTTGTTTTAACCACATTTCATAATTTTTTTAAAATCCACTTCAATTCTTCTCAGCAGCACCATTTTTAAAAATTATGGACGTTTTATTTGAGTTTATTGATAAAAATGTCGTTTATACTCTTTATATCAATATATGTCAATGTTCCATAATTTGTTGATTCAAACTGTCTAAATTTTGTATCAATTTTATTCATATTTTAAATAATATTTATTCGTTGCAATTTCCGATGATGTTGCATTATTCAAATCGAATTAGGTTCGAAATTTGATCTAGATGTGTTTTTTAATTCAAGCAGAAGGAATAGATAAAGGAAGCTACAAAGACATTTTTGTCAACGTTCAGTGTCATAACAACCACTATATTTGAATGGAACGTTTTGACAATCCCAATATTAATGTTACTTCCAGGCATGACCAATGAATCAAATCAAATAATATTTGTTTTCACGAATATAATACATATTTAGGGGTGTTTAAATGTCTTTGATTATGGAATTATGGGACAGGTTGTTAAAGATTTCCTTCAAGATTTTCTCCGAAACGACGATACGAATCAAATGGATATACTGTTATTCAATATCGTAGTGAGAAAAGAGTAAGCAGTTCGACGTTTCTTGTTTTTGACAGTGTTGCCTGCTTCTCCTGTTAAGCGTAACGTGAATTATTAATGTTAATGTGGCTAAACAGGAGGTCGATATTACACCTCGGATTGAGCCTGTAATCTGAGTAACAACAAGAACACACCGTGGGATGGGTACTGCAGTCATCGTCTAATCCTTGTTCTACATAAAATCACGAAATGGATGACCTACGCATTTACTTGAAAAAAATCAATTACACAGTAAAAACTGATTGATATGCTCTAAAAAGACATCTCGTTCGATGATTGAAATGTACTGCTCTTAAACTTTGTCGCTCATTAGTCATTTTGAATCGCATTACAAGCAGATGTGCGATGCGGGGCTTGTAAAATATAAAGACGACGAACCACGAATTTAACACGAAGAAGCTAAAAATAGAATTTAATGTAGTTGAATCCTTATTCGCCATTTAAGAATAAAGCAACTTCAAAATTGAAATTTTCTTCAGAAATGCGATCCCGTCAAGTCAAATTGCCGAACCAAGTAATTGCAAAAAACTGCAATTTAACCAGTTTGGTATTAAATAAATAGCAATTCTTGGTAATTATTTTCAAGTTAATATTTAGGACTACTTTTTTTAAATGCATATAATGAATCAGACATGGCCCCATTCTATTTTTGATTCATTTTTATATGGCATTTTACTATTATGCAATGCACTAATTAAGGATTAAGTACCGAAAATTGTCAATTTTTCATGATACGTATGTTGGGGACTAGTAATTTAGAGATTTGCAGTAAGCAGTATCGACACGCTCAAATGAAACCTTAATCTGACGACAATTCATCTCCCGTTTAACAGCTCAGTACACCTTGCCAAAAACTATGATTATTCGAATGTGAAAGATGTGATCTATCCGTGGCATATATCCGATTATACGTTGTTCGATTTTGAAAAACGGTGAATCCAACAACAGTGAGTACGTTTGCTAAAAACAGCTTCGCGGGGAAATAATCGGTTTAAATGCAATAATCGGACATTTTTAAAGGTTACCGTCAGCCGCAGGTACCGCAAAGATTCTTGGGGATTTGCACTGTGCAAATTCCTCTTCAAACCGCACATACACATTTTAAAACATTGAAATATGATAATAATTGACGTCAGTGAAAGTAACTTGTGTGAGATGTAGATGTAATAAACCAATCTTTTGATGCAAAGACAGAGTTTTTTTTTTATTCTGGGGAAATGGGAAAGTTTATGAGACAAATTGGAAAAATATTTCGATATGATGAACTTGGACGATGGAGGAGACCGTAAGCCACCAGTGGTTACATTATAGTGCACAAGTAGGACACTGACACGGTAATTATCTTCCTCGTCAGTGGTCGCAAACCTCTATCGCACCGCTTAGCGCTTCATACTGAAAATCCAAATCAAGTGAGCTTTTGCCCTTTTGCTCTACGCGAGGTTAAAGCTGAGATTTTCTTTGCGCAGGGGCATTCGAAAATTTTTCACTCAGCTTGATAATCTAACTCTTTCCAGCACATTTAAAATATCCGATGCTCATTGACGACAAATTTAGATTGTTGATCATCACAAGATGTTATGAATTGAGCGTTCAAATCTTTTTTGCATACAACAAATGATCAAATTGAGTCTAGCGTTACAAAAGTGTTTCTACGTATTCAAGTTGAAAAAGTTTACATAAGCCCTCGACAGGAAGACACTCGTGCCGATTTTCTATTCTAAGAAAGTGGAATATTTGATCTTAAATAAGTCTAGTCTAGTACTCTAGTAATATAATTATATTTTTTCGTTTCGTCGGCGAGTGAAACAAAAGTAAACAGACATGATGTATAACCTAAGATAATAGAATTTTATTTAACTTTACCATGGCTAATTTTTTATACTAACGTCCGCTCTCTGTCAGAATTTGACGAGCAACACCTGTGGGAATCCCAAAATCGAATCAACGAAGGAATAGGTAATAGGATTAGACGTGGATGTTTATAAAACGACAAATCGTGTTAAAACGAATTCACGCCATTATTGAATGGACAGCGCACAAATCCCCAATCCCCTTGTCGCAATCAGAGAAGTCAAATAACAAAGGAATATTATGCATCTTGAAAATTATTGATTGCAAAACCAGATGCTATATGTTCACGGTTAATAATAACGTACGTAATTTATTATATCGCTGTGAACGTCTATGACCTTAGAGTCACGCAAACACGAGTTCACAAATTTATTTTATACAGTAATTTATTATAGAGGGAACATTACTGGTCTGGGTGGTCAAGTACATTGACCCTGTCCGAATAAATAGCGTAGCTCGTATCCAACTACAAATTTACTATAATTTAACATAAATTTATATACGAGAAATAGTGATAAACTTCTCGGCATAATATTCTATCCAATTTGTTCAAAAAGAAAGTATTTATTTAAACCTCGTTTTGGTATAAAATATTATATAACTAATCAATAAATATATAAACTTAAGAAAAGAAAAATAAATAACATCATTAAATAAATATATAAACCGAAATCGATATGTTCTTTACCTTTGAATTTGTAGGGAAATGAAACAAAATTGATTCCTATTGTTGTTTTATTTGTTTCATCGATTTAAATAATTTTCACTTGATTATTTTGAATCCCACGCGAGCAGCGAATAATTTTTCTTAGAATTGTCGAATGAAGCGAAATGTGCTAACTTTAATTGACATTTATGACAAAATTCACATAATCGATATCGTGTTGAAATTGTTTAACGAACAGATTGCATCGAGAGCATGGTAGTGCTAATCCAATTTCTTTTGTTATTATTATTGCAAATTAGTGCTAATTTGTCACATTATATATTCATAATATATTTACATTTCAAATAGCTTATTATAATATTTATTACAGATATTATGTGTGACGGCTAGAAAACATAATTATGCGGACTAAAAATTAAAATTTCATTGTTTTAATCCTCATAAACAACGGTGGGCAACGATCGTTATAAATTTAGTATTTTCTTCTGTATGATTATGGCTTGTCATGCGCTTATAATTCATTATGAATGTTATTCAGTGCTGCAACAATAACTACCTCCTGCAAATTAGCACAGGATTTGACTAAATTATTAAAGAAAGAATAAACTTACATATACTCGAGTAATGATGGCTGGCGCAGCTATGCCTGCTGACGAAGTCCAGATGAAAATTAATCCACGTATTGCATTCGCTCTTGTTCGAATTTGCCGAGCAGAAGTTGCATAAACAACAGCCAAAAACCTAGCAATGTGAAAACATATTGAATGATACAAATTCAAACACATTCTCTTTCCTATAGTCTATCTATTTATATCAATTTTTTTTAGAATGAAGTATTTTCCCATCAATCGTCTTAAGAAGAAGACATTGGTGTATGCATTTACTTACTTGAAGTTATATCCTGTTTAAAATAACTATATCAAGGTCCTGTTTTTTATACTAATTTCAGAAATGATTCGCAAAAATAATATACAAAAGAAATATTGGATGTCTGAGTTGAAGAAATGAGACATCAATTTTAGACACTTTGGGTGCAACAAGCAAACATTTCCAATGGCACAATATAATTTTATCTTTATTTGATGTGTATAATTTAGTGATTTCGTAATTGTTCTTCTAAATTTATGTCGGTATATGTAACAATTAAAAAAACCTATTTTTGCCAATCTGTAGGGGTCTAAACACCCACCAAAACCTGGCTGAAGTAATCTCCGACATACGGATGAGATTAATTTGTTTATATTTCTTATATATCATTAATATTTGATGAAATCGTGTCTGAATGAATTTCCACATTTAAGATAAATATCAAATTTATCTATATATGATTTTAATTGAATCCTTATAAATGATTTAAACATTGGCTTATATACTGATTCACGAATAATTCTATTTTTATTTATAAATTTACCATACAAAACTTTCCAGATTAAAAAACATTATATTTACAACATTATATATAAACTCTGACAACGTATCGAAAGTTGAATTATGGGGGACCGTGAACACGAGTTTCAGACAACAAAAGTGATCTGTATTCAGCTCACAATCCAATGTCTGCTTTATAAAACACCATGTATGCGTCTGAAAGCCAGAGCGCGTGCACACAATAAGTTGATTGTGATCGACCATTTGTCTATAAAGATACTTTCAAATATATCAAAATTTATCGAGGGACGCAATAATTTAGTGCTTGTTATTGGCGGTTGGAGCAAAAATGTTTTTCTTCGTTTTTTTTGTAAAATACAGAACAAGACTTAAACGTGTTAAAGATTAGACTTCATGTTAAATAATTTTTGATATTTAAAGCTTTGAGATGCGATACTTTCATTTCAATCACAATCAGTTTTAAACAGTAACGAGTTTTAACAGTTTGCCACGTTTTTTGATGTTATTTCATTTTATATTCTTACATCGGTCGATCTTGTCATATTTAAATGTAGCAGGTAAAAAGCCGCAAAGTACCATTCGTGGTTCGTTTCTAATTCCGAAACTTTCCATCGACTTTCCGAGAGAAGTCTTCGGAGATAAACATGATAAATTACTCAACTTATATCGGTCCATAATTTTGATCGTTCGGTCGATAATATCGAGTAGTACGATTAACCGCCGTGATAAAATTATCCGTGCGTAGAAAAAACAAAAATATTCCTAGATTATTTCTACACTGTTTTCAGAAAGTACATGAATAATGCATGCTCAATCTCACATAGTTCTTGAGCAAGTCTTTGCATTAAAATACATTGTAACTTTCATAAAGCGCAAGCATGATTCAGTGAAAACTTGCATCCTGATGCACGATGTTTATTAAACCAAGCATGTCTTTGACATGAAGAAAAAGATTTGTGAAAGTGAGATAATTGTACTGTTAAAGTACATGGCAGTTGTTCTACATAGCCATGTTTCTAAACTTACCAGAAATAGCGTTCGACAACTTTGACAGGCTATGACGCCATAGCACAAGAGGGCGTTGGGGGAGTACATCTAGTCTGCGGTTTCTTTAAGTATATTATGTGTATTAAATTATGGTATGGCTCTGAATTTTCGGCCAAAACATATGATTATCGCGCGGGAAAACAAATCAAAAACAAGACCTTCATTATAAAGATCACGACACAGATAGGGAAAATGAACGATTCGTCGTGGAAACATATTTCCATCCATGCTGAATTAGGAAAAACAAAATATTTCGAAGTTTCATGAATAAATAGCAAATGACGATATTTTAATACGGTCAAAACATGAATATATATGTAAAGGTTTTTCAATAATTACCCTAGCCTACATATTTATATAGTACAGCCCACTTTTTTGTGCAAGTAATCTGGCTGGTACACTTCAAACGATAATCTTTTTATACGTCCTTTATACTTGAATAAACAGTTATTTATTGAAATATCCAGAAAAAATTCTTTTAATACTTGCTCTATAGCTTTTCATAAAAGATTAATGTAAAATCTCATGGTATTTGGCACTGTGTACATTAGCGCCTATCTCGATGTCAAGGTCATAACACCACAGGCATGTACTTGATTTTGCCTAACCTTTGTTGAGAACAAAATTTAAAAACCTTATTTTTCCATTTAGCCCAATGTAACATATAAATTTAATAGAAAATATGTTAAAATCTCGGGCCGAGCTCTTAGCGCTTTCTAATGTACTGAACAGAGTTAGGTAAAATACATTATTTATTTTGTTTATATTTTCAAGGCAAACTAAAAATTAATTTGCCAAAATAATATGGATATGTTTTATTTTCGATCAATTTTGTTTCAAAATTAATTTTTTGTATTCTGTTAAATCGTTATGTTTCAAGTCTCGTATTCATACATACATTGAATAACAAACTTACCGATCAACGGAGAGGGCAACCAGTGTGTATACGCTTGCAATCTTTGTCATTTCTTCACATACTCGAGTAAAAATGCAGAGAAAACCACCGAACAGCCATTCATTCAAAGTGTAAACTGTTGCGTGGAAAGGAACACAAATAATCAGAAACAGCATGTCTGATACAGCGAGATTCATGATGAACCTATTCGTGTTGTTCAAAGCTTGTCCGTTTTGTTTGTATATCTTGGTCATGACCGTTAGTACCAAAGAGTTTCCAACTATCCCAACAAAAAATATGACACCAAAAAATATTGGCACAAAAATGGCAGCCAATCGAAACACCAAGTCTGGTTGCATAGGTAGCATTGTGGTCACATTTCCAAATTCTGTGAAGGATGTGGCATTGAAATAAGCAGTTGTGCGTTCCATCATGGTAGGCTTTGATGTTGAATTTGATTTAGAAATTGTATCGTCAAATAACATCTTTGTTGATGCGGTAAAGTAGATATTCTGAGTTGAATGTACCTCTGTTGGGAATGGTGTTTCCATCCTTGGAGTATTTTACCATTAACTTTAAAATCTAATTTTCTTTGAATAAAAAACAAACATAAATATAAATTAAATTATGTTTTTTTTCTGTCGTTTAGTCTTTAATAAAGATGATTCATTTTCAATTCGGAATTTTGTTTAAAAAATAACTAATTTATGTAAACTTTTAAATTGCGCGCTAGGGTTTAGTTCGCGCAACCCCAAAGGAACTCCTTCCTCACGTCAAAAATGTCATTCTGTCAATATAAATATTCTTAAACTTGACAGGCGCAGTTGCAGGCGTCATCCTTTGAAGATAAATAACATGGCTCATTAACTGTTGAACCTCGTGGGAATTCATACTGTAAACAGCTCACTTATAGCAGCTATACATCCTGATTCCAGACATGCACGCAGTGTCAATAAACGAAAGATCGTAGGAACAACATAATATATACAAACAGTTTAGTATTCAAATATTAGAAACAAAAATGCAAAACAATAATTTGAACAAAAAAAAAACATTCGTGCATTGTTTTTATTTTAATATTTACTAAGTCTATCCTCATCCAATACCTGCGATTCACTTTCAAATTGCTTATAATATTAATAATAATACCGCTAACATGTAAAACATTTCGTTGGAACCAAATTTATTAAAATTGTAAGAAAAAATATTTCAAGAATTAGATCTAGATATGCGGATAAACTTTTGGTACGCAACCAGTTTTGCTCCTATATTTACGCATCTCCTCCGAACGAAACAAGAAACCACCAAGTAATATAATTCACCTCAATGGCATTACTGAAGCCTGCTATATGATATCATATTTCCTTGTGCGGAATATTTATCGTAAAATCTAATTCTATTGTAGGCCTATTTTATTGAAACAATACATGCAATATGTATGAACATATGTATAAGACGCTATTGGAAAATGTCGTTTACATGATAATGGGTTTAGTGCTTATTTGAATGTCGTAATTTATATACACGGCAAGAGTAATAAAGTAGTAAGTAGAATAATAAAAAGTGACTTTCTATATTTTGTACGAAATTTTGGTTATAGGTGAATACAATACCCTATTTTCAATTGAGAGCATCCCGACGGCAGATAACATGTCGTAGTAACGCGAGTTGGATTTGAATGTGATGCGCGAATACGCCCGAAATTACCTGCTGTGACTAACTATGATAACAATCAGGCTGTTACGAGCAGTATTTGTCCAAGTTATACGTAACAAAGAGTAGCTAATAATATATATTAATAGTTTGCCCATTTTATCAACTCATACCATTACAAAAGTAGCAGTTTCTTATCGCTTAAGGTTTCTCTCGAACTGACAAATGAAATTTAAATTTTTTTTTGAAATACAGTTGAGAGCATATCAACTATTAAAAACTACTCACTTATTGAATTATTATCATATTAAATTATTTCTACGCATTAAAATTTCCTGAAAATGAGGTAGAAGTTATTGTACTTATCTAATGTCCATATTCATCTCAATAACTCACTTTGCAACATCTTCCTTTCGAAAAGCCACTAACTCTGTTAGCATGATCTGTAAACTAAGTTTTTTCAAAGTGCAATAAGGACAGATGCTCATTTCTATCACGCGTATTGATTGAATAAAATAAGGTCCTACATTCAATTCAATATGGGATCATCAAACAAAAAGTCGATGAGATGACCGACTTTGTTTGAAATATCAGCGCACGGCTGGCAACACCATAACTACTTAACTTCAATATGAATAGTATTCATACCACTAACTCTTACTAACTAAGACAATGGAATCTTGTATAACGACATCAGTTATTTCAACCTTAATGCCGCCATACTTAGCGTAGCGAGTATACATATACGAACCCGAAACACTAAGAAACGAAGATGGAATGAGATTGATGAGCATGAATTAGATAGGACTTCAATCTCCTCATCCTAAGCATATCTGTCTCAATATATCCGATCTAATAACTACTAAATGTACTACTGGGGTTTGACTCATCATGATTACATCGATCGAGTCATTTAATAGAGACTATGGATATGGGTATATTATATCTTGGTAATGAGCTTCTGAAATATAAATCATTATCTGGTATAATCTGTACCCTCTTTTTTAATAAAAGTGGGATTTGTACTACATGGTATTAATCTTTTAATGCGCTCTACTAAAGGGGTAATTAACTAGAAACCTTTTTGCTATAACCCCTTATTTCATGTGGAGATCAACTCGCCTAGTGAAAAACATTTTACGCTGTTAAATTATTTCATAATCAAAAGTAACCTCATTAGTTTGGATAATAAGATACTCACCAGTTCCACGCTTATTGACTTGCAAACAAGAATTAACGAGAACTTACATGGTAGAAATGGCGACACATTGCACCAAAATCAAAAGTTTCATCTTTGCTAGATCGAATTACATGTGCTTCAAGTAATGTTATTTATATCAAACTTTACAACCCTGAAACAAGCTTTGGAATCTTGAAATATCATTATGTCAACTACTCACCATTGTTCTCGACTGTTCAACGTCGACGGATCGCTGCTTGTTGACAGATTTTCCATTAATTTTCCCGCTTTTTTATTTCAAAAATTATAAAAATTACCATTTTATTTTTATTTTCAACAAATTTCGACATATATAAAAATGTTTTCATTTCTACCGATTAGAAATAAAAGAAAGATGAGTAAAATCCTATTTATTTTTTAAAACATAAATTACCATGTAACGTGAACCTTGTGAAAATTAATTTCTGCCAAATAAATACGTAAAATCTTTAAAGACATTCTCTACCAGCGAGCTGCTTCTCCGATGGAGTTCAACTAAACTGACACAAGTTTTAGGTCATTCGAGATGATGCCTCTAAAATATTTTATGTTGTGATAATTCGCGATTGCCTCCGGAAATTTTTCTCACTTATCCGAGCCTATATACACAAAGCAGAATCCTTGATATTTTTTTGAGGACAGAAAGTTTAAAAGCTAAGATTACTTATCTATTCAGTCAAAACTGCGGTTTTTGTTTCATGAATAAGCCATGAAACGATTTTTACGCTCAGGACCTCACGTTTATTAAATCCAAATGAGTTGATCTCTAGGGCACTTGTCCATTTTATCCTTAATTTACTTCTTTCTCTTTTTTTGTTCTCTCTAATTCATCGCTTATTCTCTCCTTCTTTCTCATCGATAATTTCTGGATTTCTTTCGGTTTTGATGATAAATAGAGATAAATTTGCAATAACGAACGAAGGGTTTCAATAAAATATACGTTTTTGTCTACTCCAAATTTCAAAATCTTGTTTACAAGTACTCAAAGTGTTCCATATAAATATTCATTCGTTTTTTGTTGATAAAAATCAAAATGTATTTAATCGGAGACATGATCACCCCCTAATCCATGGTGTACTAAATTGGGTTAGCTTTATCCAAGAAAACAAAGATTCCGATGCTTCTCACAACATAGTATATCTTTCCACATATAAGTGACCGCATAAATCTACATATAAGCCTCAAAATTCAATTATCCAAGTTTTGATCGTTTTTACGAATTATTCTTAATTGTAGCTGTCTTTATCTATATTCAAAGGTTTCCATATTTGAAACTTTCAAATACAAATTTTTGGGAAATACGGTTCAAATTTCCTGATATAGTAGCGTGTTTAGTGGCGTGTAAATTTACATTAAACATTCTATTTCCAATTTCTGTATTAGTTTATTCGGTAAATAAAGTATTTTTCTTATATCAGATTGACAAAATATTCCTCAATTATCGTTCAAGCATTTCCCCCATCGAAACTTTGATATGATTATCTGTGATTAACGTCATGTGGATATTACGATAGAAAAAAACATAGTTAACTATATGTCTCAAATATTGTTTATATTTTGGTAAAACAATTTACTATTCAATGGTATGTACATCCTAAATTATTAGGAAAGATGTTACATTTAGTTAATTATTGCACATTTGATAAAAATACATGAACACCTGGGGAGTTACTTCCACATATGTCAGTTTTATGAAAATATGTGGACGAATAATATTTGCTGTGATTATTGAAGATGATGATCGATTATTTGTCAGAATAACAATCTAAAGTATATCTACGTAAGACAATCGCTTGGTTCGGAATAATTTTTTATAATCAAATAATTCTGATTATTGCGTAATCCCTGTTTATATTCTATTTTTCATATTATTTGTTAGCGGAATGCATTTTTTGTTTATATTTTTATGTTTGATTTTCTTACTTAAAAAAAGGACTTCACATTTATCAACGATACTATACCACCAAATTTGTAAATAAATAGCATGAAGTTATATGAGTGAAAATTCAGGCCCTAAATAGAACATTCAAAAATTCTGGTATATTTACCAATTCTCCAGTCGCAGAAGCGCTTATATCAACATTGTATACATTTGCATTTCCACTCAATGAAGGTAAATGACATTATAATGCAGAAAATTCAATGGCGGTGTTTCAAAAATTCTTTCAAACCAAAATTTATCGATTTGCATTTAATTTTGAATAATGGATTTAGTTTAATCACATTTGACTTTTTTGCATATATATTCGATAAAGTATTAAAAGTATACAGCTCATGAAATTAATTTCGATATCCTGATTTCAGTATCGCCGACGTATATAAACGAATGGCATCCTTGAGGTCGCTTCCTAACAATATATTAAACAATTTCCAATATTTCAAATAGTTTAATTTGCTAAAAAATTCAGCATCACAAAATTCAAATGATATAGAAAATAACATACCTTTATGTAAGATTGATGAAACCAATCCCACGAACATTCGTTCAGAATTAAAACACTAATGATAAAAATGAATCTCGCGCCACATTGCTAATATGATGACAGTGAGAATAAATGTATTGGTAGGCGCATTGGCGTTGGGTATTGAAGTATCTGACGCAATATCAACGAAATAGCTGATTGGCATTGAAAATGATATATGCATACGAATGGTTTTATGATTGAAAATGAATGACTTGTCCAGTGTTACTCTTTGTCTATGCTCAATTATTTTTTAGATAAATCGGTAAATAAGGAAATTAGCCCATTCCAAAATAAAGTCAAGTCACAGACAAAACGATCGGAATTGGTTTCTTTATTGTATTACACCTTCACGATTTTCTTCAATAAAATTAACAAAGTACGTATGATAGTGTTGAAACAAAATAAATGAATGTTATAAAATGTACAGGGATGTACAACTAATTTTTTTATAAATTACGCAATCGACCAACTGCTTTACATAAAAACTAACTAATTATTCACGGCCAAGATTATAGATCGAACACAATAAAAATGTTATCAGTTCGGAATAACCGATCATATCGCAATAATTCAAAAAAATAAAAAGAGACAGGAAGGGGAAAACAGGATAAATTTTCCATTGCAAAAGAACCCATGGGAAATAGTGCGGAAATAATATCATTTTAATATCATTTTTATTATGGTTATAATAAAGGTCATTGCTGTCTGATCGATTTTTCCCTGAATCAAAAAACAAAACAAAAAATACGGATAACGTTTTAGTATGTTATGAATTTTTTTTTACATTTATCAAAAATTTAATTATTTTATCATTTACAAACACTTCATAATTTCTTTAGCGATGGGAAAAAAGTCATCACTTGAATATATTGAGATATGGGCGTTGAAATACGAAAATTCTGATGTTTATTATTTCATTGCATCATGAATGATGAGGTTGAATTATTCACTGAATGAAAACCTTCATTTCCTGCCAGTGTGCAATGCACAAATAAATAATGTCTTGAGAAACTAAAAGCAATCGGTCCACTTGCTGAAAAATATTTGTTTTACCGACAACGAAAAAGCAACAGAACTTGGCAAAATTAGGACCTCCTGCAGTATGCGCACCAAGATGGCGCAAAACCTGAACACAGGTTGTGTATCAGGTTAGGGTTCAGGTTGTGCGATATTTTGGTGCGCATATTTCAGCAGTACCCAAAATTATTATCTGCAGTACGAGTTACATAATTTTCTTTTTTAATTAACGACAGAAAATAAAAGACTGACAAAAGACTCACGAGTTTTAAGAAGCTTTAACCCCGGGATACAGCATAAAAGAAAACTGTGTTATTTCTGAATTTATGTTGCAATTGTGTTTAACTAAACAAACTTTCAAAACATACCCCCGTCCAATTAACGAAACTAATCGTTTGTGAGTAATAATATTTGTCAGATTAACGCAAGCTGTAACGGTACAATGCCTTCATAAGTCTTTTTTCTCTGCGTAGACTTTTGTACTGGTGTAGTGGCATTGAATCATAATCATAATAGGTTTTTGACGATATCTTTATTATTTTCTTCCTATCTATATTGATCAATATTTGATGCAATTTTGTAAACTGATTCACTTGCCTGTTGTTTATTTCAAAGAATAGATTAATGTAAGGGTGTATTAGCATTAAATCATAATATATTTCCCGGACCTGTAACTCCTTCCATCTGCATATACTGATACATGTTGAATGGAGCACCAAAAATGATCCCAAAACGCCCATTCACGCACCATTTAAAAAAATTAAAGGCATAAAGTGTATGCTTTTTTCTACTTCTTTTCTGGATTTAATCCAGATAAACTCAGATGAAACGCAATATATTCAAAGTGGAATTCATATTGCTGCTTATTCATATGTATTGTACATTCGGCCAATGTTCCATTATATTGGAACTTTTTGTGCAAGGAATATTACTCCGACTAAGACCCGTACTTTTCTTTATTGAACCTAAGAAATAGTATTATCCTTACCATACTTGAGTATGTAAAATGTAAGGAATAAGTTTTAGCCTGTTGGGTATACTTAGCCAAATATTGCATTAAATGGAACCATGAATTTTTAATGAAAAGAAAAACGGACGAAATAGCCATTTGCGGCTGCGGAAAAATTGCGTCATATATCTAAATATTATAGGTCATAACATAATTATTTTTACAACCCTTGATAGCATATCCAAAAAAACGGAGTATTTTAATATTAACTATAGATTAGATTACAATGTAATTTTGATATTGCTTCATTTTTGATATGGTTTTTAACTTTACTTAGTTATCGTCGTTACAAAACCTATAGGATAAAATAGACATTTTAATAAACTTATTTATCCAATTTAAAACGTATACTTATCAGTCTACCAAAATTAACAACAAGTCGATTGCCATAACGCAATGGTTTTCAATCGGGGTTCCTAGGGTTTCGCTGGTACAGTTCGAGGGTTCCGTAAGTTCCCATTTAAATCCGAGAGTCTATAATATTTGGTTATTGTTTTAATATAATCACATACTTATTAGGCTTGTCACTATTATTTAACTGCTCACTCCGAATATCTTTTTATTTTTCCAGTATAGAGTTTCCTGTTATATATATTCATAGTTTAGGCGATTCAGACAACAAAACACAATTTAACTATTACACAGGAGTTCCTCGAGCCTCTGGGAGGTTACATTGAACTTCCGCTCTACGAAAAGGGGTCGGAAAACACTGCTTACTAACATAATAAATAACGACTCTATCTGACTCCCATTACCTCCATATTGGCAATCTTTCTGTCTTGCCTTTATTTTGAAATTAATAACTAAACCATGCCTAGTTTAC